TTTAACCTTTCAATGTAATTGTCCCACTCACTTTGCATATTGAAGTCATGAAATTTTATACATTTTCGCTCCAATTTTATGTTTTTAATAATTTAATAAAAGCACGTTCTATTTGTAGCATATGTATTAATGTACTAAGTAGGAAAACTGGTTGACAGAGCCTAATATAATACATTGATCTAACAAAATTTTACTCGACATCAAATTATTTAACAATACCGAGCAAGAATAAACTAAAACACTACAATGACATTACTTTTAGAGAGACTTAGAGCGAAAAATAACCCCGAGGCAATAAAATCACTCTAATGAAATCAAAGCGCTTACAAGATTTTCTCCGAACATTTTATTTCACTTACTCCGATAGCTTGCTTTTTACAATTAGCACTGACGGGCCCTTTGTGACGACCTAACTGGAAGTAATGCACTATATCTGTCGTTCTTATCACTCTTTACGAGAGATACGTGAGTCTGCGTACGTGCCTTTTAAATATATCGTCGTTTTATTATTGAAAATGCCTCTTTGCATGTGTGCCTTTGCAATATATTTTAATTGAAATAATTATGTATAGAACTGAAACTGTATGGTTTATAAAATTGCCTTAAACTTCGAAAAGTGAACTTAAAACTACTATTATGAATTTTATACTTGCAAATTATGTTGTTAGGCTCATTATTTGCCATCGGTAATTAATAATAATTAATATAATTTGTTTGATTTGGACACAATTTGGAAACTGAAGAAAATATTGATTCAAACTTACTATTAGTCGAGTATAATAGAAATATATGTACCTACCTAAATCCTGTCAACATGTTAAAATCAGTGAAAGAGTTTTTTCGAGTATGGAGGAAAAAAAGTACTATTATGTTTTGTTTTTAATGTTTGAGGCCGTGTTTTAATATCTCACTCAACGGTAATCGGATCAACTGATCTATCAACTGATACTTGCATTGAAGCCGTCTGTATGTTCAAATCATTCAAATCACAATTTCATTTCAGCATCATGTCTATTCGCACCAGGCTTCATTGTGCATCAACCTATACATTGTCACAAGCTCATGTTTTATATTGAAGTAAAACTTCTAATGCTACTTTCAACAAAGCTGAATTAAACCTTCAACGCTCCTGGGGAGGAATAGAAAGAAACAGAACGAAAGTAAATGGGTAGGTCAATTATGAATAGTAAGCAATGTTTACAAAGTTTGTCTTAAAGAAACAATATAAGTTCATTAAAGATTGATTTCTCCGCTTCCTATCTTCAATTGCACATTACGAAGTTTCACTTCTTTCTTTCACGCGCTCTTTGTTTCCTTAAAAATATTCAAGGTACATAATCTTTTAGATTGTCTCGGATAGAAAGTCGGTTTCTTTAAATATGTATCAAAGAAAGGCGAACTGGTTTCCTCGCTAAGTACTTAGTGAGCACCCGGAATCGAAACTCAAGAAGGTACTTTAGTTCTTGCCTCCAAAAAACCCTGATATTAAGTTAGATCAAGGGAAAAAAAACTTTTGGTTGAACATTTCACCGCCACTAACAGTATTATCAAAACAACGAGAGAAGACGGGAGATACGGGGAAATGAAGAGAGCTTATTATTGTTAATGTAAGTAAAGCTAAATATTTAACATGTTTTGACGTAACTGAAATCGTCCGTTCGTTCGTTCGATCGTCCCTTTAAAATTCAGTCACTAAAAACCGATGAGAAAACTAGATCCTAAACTTTTAGACTGATCATTTGCTTATATTTGTATGGCGATTCTGTTTTTTACATAAATCAAGTAGAATTAACAGAACAAACAAACAGAAATGTAACTAAAATGTCAATCAGCGACTTCTTGGTAACCATTATTAGTGTGAAGTTTTCAGACTGAGAATTGGTATATACAGAGTGACTGGTGAATTACTATCAATATTTAAGGAGAATACTCGGTACATGATTCTCATTCGAATTATGTAAAAAAAGTAGGTACTTAATTTTTGACCAAATTTCCGTATAAATAAATAAAGTGTGGATACGTTCCAAGTGTTCCAAGTGTGGACGCGTGCGGCGGCGTGCTGATACAACACTACGCCACCGCGCGCAAGTGTGTGTGTGTGTCAGTGGCGGCTGTACCTTAAGTGCACTCGTGCGCTGAACCACCAAATCAAAAGAATTAAAAGTTACAAAATATTACTTTATCTTTATTTTTAAATTACCATTTTAATATTTATTTTCTATACATACAAAAACGTATAAAAAATTAAATTTCTAATTATAGTCCAAAAGTTTGAGCGCTTTACTAAACTAATATCTCGTGCGCTTCGGCGAGTGCACGAGGACGGCTAATACATCTTGTATGAGACACGAATTAATAGGCCTGACTCGTGAAACAAAAGATAGTTCATAGAAATGTACCGAGTAATGAGTCGGTTCTCGAGCGCCGCACGAGCGACCGAAGGTTACCGAGAGCACCCGATGTATGACGAATTGGAATTGAAAAGAATCAAAACTTTTCTCCGAAATACCATGCACTTGCTAAATGCACTTTCTATGCTTAGTATTGAAAAAAATTATTATACAAACAATACCCGATTTTAATAAAAAGGTGATTGAATATTTCGCTTCAGAAAAATGTCGCCGCATTGATTTAATGTATAAAAAATAATCAAATTTTATGTCAATTGCTTTTTTGTTGCATTTTTTAATTTTAAAATTTTAGTAAAGTGCACCACCAATTCGATAACCCACCAGCGGCCACTGGTGTGTGTGTATACCTAATCTGTAGGTTGTTCACACGATGCGTAATTAATTACATAACTTTTGGTTAACTTTACTTAGAAGTTTATTAATATTTATGTTATACTAATTTTTATTTTGTCATATATGATCGTCAAATATCACGTCCTCAAGTATCGATAGTAATTCACCAGTCACCCTGTAGGTGCTTCGGATTAGCCGTTGGCGATTTTTGAGGATTATATAATACCAAATCATACAAACTTGGCAGCGTTAATTATTTATTCGAGTACAAAATATTAATCTTACATAAAATAATTTCAATTCCAAACTATAATACAATCGTCTAAAGCAATGTTACATTTTAATAAACTGATTTCCACTAAAATAGCTCCACACGAATACAAAAAGCAACTTTCACGTGGATATACATATATCATTAAAAATTTCTATATATTTGTAGAAGCAAAATATATTGTAATCTCGACAACATTCACTTATTTATAGAAGCTATAGTATAATAATCAAAAATATATCAACTAATTTATATAAAAATTCAATATAAAGCTAGGACAGATTAAAAAAAGAATACTGTAAGGCAGTGTCTTTACAAGGACTCCACGCAAAAGACCTAATATATAATTACGTCAACATTATTGTCTTTTAAGGAATTTGCAAAGTAATTATCGAAGGCGTATATGGACATTAAATATCAATTCTCATTATAAACTACCTCTAAAAAGATATCAAATAAAATCGATATATTTAAATGATAAATATAAAAATTAGTGATGTGCTGTATATCGATAGGTTTTCCACAGATATCCGTGGCTCGAGAAAGATTAATTCATATTATTTTTCATTGGATCTTTTACTTTATTGATTTTTTAAATGTTTATGAAATTCCCCATAGATGTCGCTGAGACTAAAAATGTCAATTAATTATTATCGTCACAAAAAAAAATTCGAACCTATACATATATAATATCTAACAATCCAACACATCACTAATATATTTTCACTATAATCATTACAAAATACCAATCCATTAAATCAATGATTTAACAGCTATGCCCATAAATTTTACCAACAGCTTAAAATATTATGCAAATCGGAAACATCCTAAGCTATAATAACATAACTACTTAATTTGTGCGATACATAAGAATCATAAATAACTTTCATGACAAAACGTAAATAGTTACAAAATGAGTATTACTTATAAATTACATTACTTATAACTAATATTGTCCCCATTATTCTCCTGCAGCAAAAAATACGACCCCTTAAAGCTTCACTAAAACTCTTCCCTCAAATTCTTATCACCTTTACAACGATTAATTCTACCAAAATTGTTTAAGGCAAAGTAATTATGGTTGTCACAAATAACACACCCTATATAATACTTGTACTCGTATTATAGCATGATTTGAGAAAGCTTTTTCCATATTGATTAGCTACCGTACTTATAAACATTGTAACAATTCTTAATGAAATGGCTGGAATCGGTTAAAATCTATGCTGTGACAACCCTAGAATGGATGGTATACTAATTTATTAAACAACAACTTGTATAAATATATCTCTATAATACTAAATACATCTCACAGCTCCCATCAAGGCTTATTCGGCTTTAATTCACATACAGATGTTCATCAACTATAATAATATATATGTATATTATTAAAGCAACATATTGTCATCACAAATTTCATTATAATTGATGATATCCATTGAAAAATTCTAACAATTTTGCATCAACAATCATGCTTCAATAGAATTCAGCTATCAAAGACAAAGATGGACATTTATTAAGGAAGCCGTAGAGATAATAACTTAAGTATGTCACAAATTTCAACATCAATACTATAGTAAATCAAATATTATCTGACATAATGACTGGCAGTACAAAAAAATGCTTAATTGTAAGTACATGAATACATTTTAGAAATATGTGAGTTATGTATGAGATTATATTCAGAGACTCATAATAATAATACTGAATGAATCCTTCCTAATACAGGAATTAAAAATATATTACAAAAAAATTATATCATAGTCATATACAAATGAATATACTAATATATATATTCTAGAGTACACAGCAGGAAAATTTGAAAAGGAATACTGTACTAAGTCTTGTAGAATTAGGTGAAGGAGTAACCTTTGACCTTACTTGGAATATACTGGAAGGCCACATGGACAAAGGTCAAAAAGGCCGAGGGAAAGAAGCTTAGGGTCGATTGTGTGTCTTCACACTGCGGCAGGAGAGGCTGATTGTCAGTGCCATTTGGCTTTTTGGGCGAATATGTCCGCCCGGAGGTTCTGGGCGAAGCATATGCCAAGAATCTGAGGGGAAAATATTTTTTATGTTTATAAATTGCCGATATATGATGATAAAATCATATTTATTGTACTCATGAAGCTGATTGAATGATCTTCATCAAAAAATACTGACCGATTTTGATTATTATTGTCTCGTTTTGAATTGCATCTTGAAGCATGTGTAATTAATTAAAAGGAAAAAACCAGTAAATTGCTCTGTGATTTTGAGGAATGCGTGAATATAAAAACACACTTTTAAATTTCTTACGGTTATGGTAATAATTGTTAAACATTTGTAATCAGCAATAATAAATCTGTTACTATCCCAAGATATGTTCACATATTTTGAAGTCTACTAGACATACAAATATAGGCATGCAGAATTCCAAACAGAGAAAAAACACATAAAAAAATACAAATAAATCTGGAGAAAAACATAAAATTGGTGCATCTATAACTTACATGTGCAAAAGCGGCACAAACAGCTGACGTTGCTACTATCAAAAGGTTGTGATCAAACCATTCCTCCGCAGCCTCAAGGCAACCCTTGTCATGTATTATCTTAGCTATGTCAAGACTCTATAACAAAAAAGGATCTACTGAACACAAATTTCTACACACATAGGCTATTTACGTGAAAATTTTCACACCGATCATAAAAATCACGTCACATTCTATATAACATCTACAGACTTACAATATTATAGTGGTGGTTCTGAAAATAACATATATTAAGAAGAAACTACGGTGTTTTATATAGAACAAGCCGAATAACATCAGTGCATACATGTATAGACCTTAAAAACCATTGGTCCGAGTACGATGAGTGCGTACAGCGGGAAGTGTTTGTCGGTCCAATCTTCCGCCGCTACGAGACAACCACGTTCATGTATTACCCGATCGCTTGGTTGCTGTTTATTTTAATTATTTAATATTTTTTTAATTTTTTTTGGGAGGTAGACTCTTTTTTTGGAGGGTAGATTCTTGGGATAAATAAAAATTCTTTTTGGGACGTGTAATACTTATTTGTCTTGTGTGGTAAAGCTAAATGCATCTAATTTTAACTAATGTTACCCAAAATTCTATTTAAACCTTCAACCTGCATACAAAATATTTTACAGGGTGACTGGTGAATTACTATCGATACTTGAGCACGTGATATTTGACGATCATATATGACAAAATAAAAATTAATATAACATAAATATTAATAAACTTCTAAGTAAAGTTAACCAAAAGTTATGTAATTAATTACGCATCGTGTGATCACCCTACAGATTAGGTATATACACACACACACACACACACACACACACACACACACAAACACACACACACACACGCGTGCGGCGGCGTAGTGTTGTATCAGCACGCCGCCGTACGCGTCCACACTTGGAACACTAGGAACGTGTCCATACTTTATTTATTTATACGGAAATTTGGTCAGAAATTAAGTACCTATTTTTTTTTACATAATTTGAATGAGAATCATGTACCGAGTATGCTCCTTAAATATTGATAGTAATTCACCAGTCACCCTGTATAATTAAAGTATGAGAAGTAATATATCTTACAAATCAAACGGTAATAAATTCATTCAAAATAAAAGTCTGGCAATTTTAATTCTAAATACATATTAGCCATCTGGGTCTACAAACATTATTACCAAGGAATTTTTTACAGTCTATAATTTAAGCCAGTTATTGTAACGTTGATATCTTTTACTATTAATTATTTTTCATTTTATTTGAAATATCTCAAGAATAAGAAATATTTTTTGGAAGTATTGAGATAATGTATACTATGATACTATGCAAAAGCAATTGATATATTCAGTTTTAAGTGATCTTTTAATGTTACGAAAAAAGGGGGAGCTTTGGCATTCTATGTTTCCAGACAGTAGTAAGGAGGATATTAGGGAGGAGGGAGGGTCGGCAAAAATCTCGACAAAATTATCTGGAATAACAATAATGCAGACTCAAGTTGCTGTAGCAGTTGTACAACCGCTCCATATTTATCTATTACAAACACTATTAGTTAAAAACCATTATCGGCTGCTATAAAAAGATGTGGTGAAATTATAATCGTCCCGAAAGAAACGCTGCAAAAAACTTAATCATTACTATCCAAAAAAAACAGAGGTCAACTTACATAGGTCGGTTTCCTGACGTCATATCCGCACTGCTTGTTCCGTATGATGTCCGATGGTTTCGTCCTACAACAGCTGAACGGGACCCCGCAGGCTTCCCGTGACCCCACCGCGCCGCTCGAACAGTTAAAATAGGCATTCCGATCCCAATCCTTGGGGCCTTCCACTCCGCAACATTGTAACTGGAATTGGATAGTTGTATTGATCTTATTATACTTAGTCTTATATAAATTTTGCTTCAATTAACAACATTAGTTCTATACGAGTTTTCATTTTCGCGTCAATGTATTATAAATTGCTATATTAAAAAATAATGGTGTTATAAAATTAAACAACCCTGTGATTGCGTATAGTAGGTATGGAACTAAATAAAATATTAAAAATATTATTAGGTACATATAAAATATTGTTACACATATTTATATATTTATTTGTGCTACATGAGTTTCTCAATCATTCATAAGTTCGTAAGAAAATGTTGGTAATTAATAGAAGGCCATCTTCGAAGGTTTCTTACAAAAAATACTTTTTCCTACGTACTTGTAAACTTTTAGCCTTAGTGAGATGGGAGTTTTTACGTGTTCATTAATATTATAGAGTCACGCGTTCAAGTTAGTAATTAATATAAAAAAAAGTTTAATGCTCTAGAGTCTAGAGATTAATTGCATTCGAGATAATTGCCAAAAAATGATTTATTACAACATTAATAGGATTTTTTCATTTATATTGTACGCCATTTAAGTAAAGAAATATTTGTACTGAGATGTTCACTAATAAAATGTTCAAGAAACATTCATAATCAAATTTGCAATCAAGTATGAGATCATAAATTCCAAAACAAGTTTCTAAGCAGTAATGACTTCTAGATAACGGCATATGAAATGTATTTAATAATGTCGATCATCAAAATGATAATATATTATTCTTAAACAGCTATTCAGCTGTACTTATTTTCTGAACCAGCTTTAAACTAGGAATTTGCTGACGAAAACCGTCATTTATTTCATGTATATTATACAGGGTGACTGGTGAATTACTATCGATATTTGAGGACGTGATATTTGACGATCATATATGACAAAATAAAAATTAATATAACATAAATATTAATAAACTTCTAAGTAAAGTTAACCAAAAGTTATGTAATTAATTACGCATCGTATGAACACCCTACAGATTAGGTATACACACACACACACACACTCGCGCGCGGCGGCGTGTTGTTGTATCAGCACGCCGCCGCACGCGTCCACACTTGGAACACTTGGAACGTGTACACACTTTATTTATTTATACGGAAATTTAGTCAAAAATTAAGTACCTATTTTTTTTCATAATTCGAATGAGAATCATGTACCGAGTATGCTCCTTAAATATTGATAGTAATTCACCAGTCACCCTGTATATTTACTGTGGAAATATTTTAACTTTCGATATTTTTTTACCACCATCGCCAACATGTATCTCTGTAATATTTCATCTGTATATATTAGTATCAAAATTCATCTTTAAATTAACATAATAACCTTATCTTTGACTGTTCCTAAGATGCTTCTAAACAAAGAGAGGCATAAAAGAAAAATATATAACGTGAAAAATGAAAGTATAAAATATAAAGTATATTTAATTTACATAACAGTTACATACCCAATCTTCTTGAATCCAGTCAATCAAATTTTGTTGGTCCGGATCTTCTCGGTAATGTGTTATGAATGTCTGAAACCCACTTGTGGCTTGTTGCTTTATCTGAGAATAAAAAATATAAACATTCAACTATAATGAACTATAATAAGCTTAAAGCAATTAAATAAATGTAAATGTGTGCCTAAAACAAACATTCTGCTATAATTTTTATACTTGTAAAGATATATTTTATTGGTAACAATTAACAGTTTATTATACAGTAAAGATATGAAAAGTTCATAATTTATTTAAGCATTACTAGATATAACAACAAAACTAAAGGTCATTTAAGATTGTTAAAACATCAAAAACATACCCAGTCCTTGAAAACAAAGAACAATATACCCGCTGTCATTTCAGCCAATAGAAGAAGTGCAAGGAACACAGCATACTGTTGAAATAATATATACAATCAATTAATATACATTCATTAATACAATTACATAACTTAATATACAATTTATTAGATTTGATAAATTTGACTTACACAAGCCAACAAACATGTGTTCTCACGCAGAGCACCCACACAGCCCGTGAAGCCGATTATAAAAGTTATTGTACCTGCAATCAGATTTATGTACAATTGAATTGATAGGAACAATATGGCTTCTGCATAATCAAATCAATGTAAGCATCACGTGTAGTTCTTACATTGTATAAAATCATGGTTGATCCCTTCCTATTTATTATATATTTTATATATATTATTGTGTCCACATAATGTTTAAAAAACAAAACACTATCTTACATATTTCTAAATACTCAAAAGATACTTATTTTTCTTTATATTACCTTTACCTACCAATTTATTTGTTACTTCTAAACAGTAGCCGCCATACAAAATGACAACAATTTAAAAAATATATATGTATATTTGTTCTTATATAACATCAAAAGTATGAAAGCAAAGTCGTAGCAAGCAACTATGTAATAATAAAAAGCTATTATAAAAATAGTCCAAGTTGAAATTCACATTGTATGTTAATTTTGTTATGTAACATTCAAAAGTAATTAATTCATTATCAATAAAACTTTAACAAAAACAAAATAAACAGGCCATTGTCATTACAATACATTACAAGATTTATTTTTTTAGCTAAGTTGCAATTTATGTGCAATTTACAAAAATATAAATTCATTAATATCTTTGGAGGAAAATATGTAAATATTAGATTTAAAATTACAAGCAAGTTATTTACTAATGAAAAATGTTTTTTGAAAATTATGGTGGATTTTAGAAAACAATGTGTTTATTATCGTCTCATCTAAGCAATATTTTTCATGTAAGAAACTACACTGAATATAGTATTGAGTAAAGGTTTTTACATGTTATACAATTTACTCAGTAAAAAATTAATAATATATGCACTATTAATTTATGATTTACTTACCAACACATATCAATATAAATGCTGGATCTAAGGCAATATTAGTCAACCGTGACAGATTGTTGAAAGTATCCTTTTCAGTCCATGCCCAAACTCCAACAGCTAAGATAATAAGTCCCAAAAACTGAAAAATACATAAAGAATAAAAACAATATGTAAATAACACTTATTTGCATCAATTACGAAAAGTATGTCAGTAACAAAGACATTGAATTTAAATTAATGAGTTTATTTACCGACAGAGTATATGGATTCAACAAAATGAATAAAAAACTATGTTAGATATCGGTATAACGTGTGAATATAAGATGTAGATCTTTTTAATATAAATATAAAATATACACGTCGGTGAATGCAGCCTTGGTCCAAACAAAGGTTTCATTATATTACTCGAATATTCGCACAACATTGTTTATGTACATACAATCTTGTATTTAATAAGTCAAATATAGTTATTAAATTTACTCGATCACTATTTTTACTTACCCAAAACAATATGTTTACACCAAAAATCACATATTTCAAACAACAGCTAACTTCGGTGGTGTCACGTCGATATTTTCTTATTCCAGGCATTTTCACAATTATTTACAACATTGATGTTAACTTAAATAGTTGAAAACAATAAACAAGAATATCACACTACATTTGTTAAAACTTTTTAATCAAAACATTTTATATCAGAACATTATATACATCAAAAACTGTATAGTTGAGTCTGAAATCTAAAAACTAATGCAATCGTAGATTAGACATGTTACTGACTATTCTCTCCGAAAAGTAAAACTTTAATAAGTACAAATATTAAGTATATTCTGTGTCACGTATGTCTTACTGTCATATCAATGTGTCACAGACTAAATTACGTCCGCATAATCTGTGGCATGAAGGCTATCCTACAAAACCTTTCTACAAATATAATAATAATACATTTTACGTTATTTAATGAGAGACATCTTACAATAAAAAGAAATAATTAAAGAAACTTAAATCGAAAATATTATATTGTTTCTTAATTCATTCATAGAATTGACTACCATGATGTATTACTCTAACACATTTAAATTATTTAAAATTACACAGAATTGGTTTAAAATATATATTTTTTTAGTATATGTAACTAGTTTCATTCGGAATACCGGACAAAAAAGAATTTAATTACTATCTACTTAAAGAAATGCCTTTATGAGAAAACGATTATAATCATGTTAACAATTTTTTTTTTTGCACTAAAAGACGTTCTGAAGCAGTTTCATAAAAACCTTTAAAAATCTAAAACTTACATAGCAATACAGTAGAAGTATAAATTAAATAAATGAAGCGTAACACATTTGTAAGAAAATATTTATTTATATTATTAAATACATAAATGCAGGTATAAAAATTACATATTCTTTAAGTTTTCTTTTAGGATAAATTTTTATGAGCTAAATTTAATTAGTTAGGCTTTTCTTCAATAACAAGTTCTTTCAATTGAAAATGATCTCAACGTTAATTTCTTTTTTCGTCAATATTTCCTTTCTGTTAATAAAAGTAAATAGATTATACCTATTATAACATTATGAAATCTATAAGGAAACGCCAATAACTCAATGAATAGAATAGAATAGTCAATAGCGTATACTTAAAGAACTAGTTGAATATAAGAAAAATTACCAAGTGGAACTGTATGTAATTCTCTAATTTCGCACAGATGATTGAAATCTTTGTGAATATAAAATTAATTTTTAATTTATTTTAGATGAAGCATCCAAACGAAAACATAGGATTTTTACCTTATAAATAAACTTTTCCTTACGTTTAGTAATATTATAAAACAAATACTTTAAAATATTGAAGAGTAGATAAGATTTATTTATTAACTCTAGTCTATTAAAAATAGTGTTTAAAAGAAATAATATAAGACATTTCTTAATTACACACTAAAAAGTATTATTTCTTAGTAGGCTTTATAACAACACATATTTAATACTTTATTTGTTAAAAGTATGTCCAAATAAACTCCTATTAATAACCTAACTAATACTTTAGTCACACGTTTTTCCATTTGCTGTATTCTTTGCGATCCAGTCGTTGTAGTTGCTCACTTTAGTATACACACCTGAAACATAATATTATAAAAATATGAAACTTTTACTTCCAATTGTTATAAGGGTTTGAACTGTCTTTTTACGTCAGAGTCTTAGTAAAACTCCTTGTATTATTTATATTCTCAGAAATTAAGAAATAACAATGTAATTTAGTATTAATTTTGTCGGGAAACATTATGTTTATATATTTTACCAGTACAGATAGGCATATTTTTCTGTCCCTTTATGTAACACCTATGACGTTACAATTTCAGTTTAATAAGCGTTATAATAAAAATTATAAATATAAATAAATTGTCACCGACCTGGGTAATTTGGGTTTGCACATCCAATACCCCACGACACAATTCCTGGAAACAAAAAAATTTCCATAATAATGAATAGTAAAAACCCAAAATAATAATGGTAGTTATTTTACCTGCTTGAATATATCTGCCGTCGGATTCAAACGTCAAAAGAGGTCCACCACTGTCGCCCTTAAAAATATAGTAAAAATCGTTTATATTTAATCTGCACTTTTAGATTTCAAATTATTAATTTTTTTTTTTGTATGCAGTATTATCTTCATAATCTTTTTGAAATATGATAATACTTCACTTAACGTTGCTTAACGAAGTTATCTTCGTACAAACACACACACAATTCGACTAATATTTTAGGTATAATTTAAACATAATGGATAAAAAAGGTAACTACTTTTCTATTAACAATAAAAAATTTTAAGTAAGAAAATTAACACAGAATATTACTGCGAAAAAATAATAATATGAAAAACATAATTTATTGTGCTGATTGTTCTATATAATATGCAAGTATAAGAAGTATCAAGTAACAGTAGAAAATGTCATATTTAAACGCAACACACGTAATCCTTACCTGGCATTTACCCAAAGGAACCTTTAGTGTTTATTTTACAATAATAAGCTATGTGTTCTTAGTGATAAGGATTAATTCTCAATGAAAATACCTGACAACCGTCTTTTCCTTTAGTGAAAGCACACATCATCATTGGCTTTATATGGCTGGCCAATTTGGATTTAAGACATTCCTCGTCACTGAGAATTCGAAGACTCGCTTTCATAAGAACCTTGGAAGATGTTTTATCTGTACCAAGACGACCCCATCCTACTATAGTACCTGCTCTACCGTCAAATTTTTGACCTAGTCAAAAAATATAAAGCAAATATCTTTTATTTTGAGAAAATTATCATTGCAGAATATATAGATAAATATCAGTATCGATATATGACTTACCCGGAGAAGGCAAACATATGGGTACGATTGTTTCACTGAACGCAACTGGTTTGTTTAAAGTAGCGATTGCTATATCATTTTCGTCTCGAACAGCTGTCGATGTGAACTGTTCGTGAATGACCACACTTGAAATGTTCCTAATTTCAACATTATTCATGTCCTCCAAATCATCTAGACCTATATAAACTTTCATTTGCTTCCTATCATCCCTGTAAAAACAATTTGGTCCTTTTATTATGATTTTTAAACCATATTTCTGTCTAACTTTTGCCTCACTTCGTCAGACGTGTGATTCACTATTAACACATTTTCTACCCATAATCTACCAGGAAAATTAATGTTAATAGCTTACAAAAAATATATTATTATGTAAAGAATTTTACAGATTTGTCAATGATCTCTAAATGCCTTTTAAAAGTTAATATAATTACAGTTTTGTGTATTAAAGTCGAGAAAAATATTCAAAGTTAAAAATTGCTACTTAAAATTAATTCTCGCTTCTACAATATGGCATCATGGAAAATCGGTTTCATATGATATCAAATGTCTAGACGGATCAATTTTATTTTACCATTTAAAACAATGACCAGCGCTAAGTATATGTCGGTCTGTTATTATGGCACCACCGCAATGCATGCGATCATTCTTCACAATAGCCACAGTCCAAGGAAATGAGTGAGGCTCTGCTCTTCTACCACCAACTATCCTCATTGATATAATTTTGTCTGATGGTGTTCCACATTCTATAAAATATTAACAAAAAAATAGGTGTTTTGTCCCTCAAAATACCTAATTTTGCATTTAAATAATAAAACCTTGTAATTGCACAAATAAATACGTCATTATTCGACTGCAAAACCACAGTTATTGTTATATCGAGGGCTTTTTGAAAAAAAATTAGTGAAAATTCTTTTTTTTTTATATTTGTTCTGCGTCAAATTTTTTAAATTCTATGCTTTTTATTAAATTCTATTACATAGTTAAAAAAAAATCTAATTAATTTTTATTTCGTAAGCATATACATATACTTAAATAATTGCTTAACCACAGTTATTGTTATATCGAGGGCTTTTTGAAAAAAAATTAGTGAAAATTCTTTTTTTTTAATATTTGTTCTGCGTCAAATTTTTTAAATTCTATGCTTTTTATTAAATTCTATTACATAGTTAAAAAAAAATCTAATTAATTTTTATTTCGTAAGCATATACATATACTTAAATAATTGCTTCTATAATAAATAAAGAACTTACGACAATTCAATCCCAGTACTTGCACCGCCTAAAAATATTAAATATATTGTTCATCACTTAATATCAATTTGTAACAACATCTTAATATCAACCTACCTGAAACAAACTGGTAACAATAGTAATTATATGCCACATATTTACACTACACTAGTATCGCACTTGCACTCCACTGTTAAGAAATACTTGCTTATTTACGTATCCGCTGCACACATAAAAACTGTGCAATTATATACGCTTTCGTCCTAGCTAATCCATCATACACTTAACGCTGACAGTAAATCATTGTTCGATTATAAAACATTACGTGTTACATAAATCAAAATGACTCTGATTATTTAATTATATATTTTAATCATCAAATGGTCACACTCCTGAGATATAGGATACTTATTTTTTCATATTTATAACGAAACACGCGTATGTTAAATCAATTTTTGTTACATGGACCTACGTAATGATATTTCTTATCGAAATTTTATTATACTTTATTGCTATGTATTTTATTCGGATGGATTTTACCTTTATGGGAGATTCCATGAAACTGTAGTGTGTTTTGCGAATACATGATTTTAAGTATTCAACTCACAAGAACCTTCTGTTAACAAACCTAAATCGGATAAAAATTAAATAAAAGACAAAGATTACTTTATGCAAATAAACGTGCAATGACCTGGCACATCACAAATTAATTCATACGATCACACACGATATTTCGATCAATTAACATTTTATTTTATGTCTTTCTTTATATAAAACTTATATACATTTCTGAATAATACGCTGTAATTATTTTAATCAATCCAATCAACAGATTTTAAGCGCATGACATTCCATCTTTTGTTTGTTGCTTAATCCAGTTCACGTATTTTGAGACGATAGTGTATACTCCTGAAAAATATCATTAACGTCTAGAATTTATAAATAAAATATAGAATTTCAATAAACTTTACAAAATAAAAATATAATATTTTTTTAAGAAAAGAAGTAATATTCTATTGATCATAAAATATCCTAATTCATAAAAAATGAATGTTTATATCAAAAATAATTACCAGGATAGTCCGGCATGGCGCAATCTATACCCCAAGAGACGATACCTACAATAAGCAACATACATGAAAGCGATAGAAATAAGACATTACTTAACTAGAGCTCTTATTTTCATCATTTTATGTTTAGATCTAGATATTAAAAAACGTACCAACTTGGTACCATTTCTTGTTATGTGTTCGTGCATGTGTGGCGAAAATTGGTCCCCCGCTATCACCCTGTTTTAACAAATCTGTATTTATATTAAATATTCGAAAGCAACACCCTCTTAAATAAGAAATGTCTTCTTGACAAAAATAACTCAACAATAATAGTAGAATTACTGAAAATTACGGGTCCTTTTCACTTGATTAATAAATACGCTTAAAGCTTGTTTTTACCTGACAAGCGTCTTTTCCAAGACTATAAGCACACATCATGGAATCAGTGACAAGATTATCTTTGTATATAGAGGACTTGGAACACGTATTACTAGGTACAATTTTAACTTTAGTTTCTAATAAATATCTCGAAGACGTCAGAGCTCCTTGTCTAGTTTTTCCCCATCCGGCTACAGTTAGTGGTACATTTTTAAAATCCATTCCTGGTACAAATAAATATCAAAAATAATTAAATTTTACAACATATATAAAAAACAGATTCTTTACTGAAAATTAACCTTCACTTGGTAAGCATATTGGACGAACTTTATCTGAAAATTGAACTTTTTTGTCGAGTGTTAAGATTGCAATGTCATTGATGTCTCGAACAGCATTTGAAGTAAAGCTGGGATGCTTAACACCATTCTTGAGTCTAGAGACGGTATGAGTGCTCCCCAAACGATCATGCATTCCTATGTAGACGGTCAGATCTTTGAAGTTAACCCTGTAAAAGATTGTTGGTTAGAATCCTTCTTCCACTTTTGTCTGCACGATAATAGCAGAAAAAATAATCAGTAGGAATTTTAAATTAATACAACGGTTCTCTATAAGAATTTCTTTGAAAACAGTAACGTTGTATATTTACAGACCCAAAAGTGATACAGTGTCCAGCACTTAAAATGTGTTGGTCGGTAATAATTGCACCTCCACAATGTAGTTTCGATCCCAGCATGAGTGCAACCAGCCAAGGGTACTGATGAGGCTGGACGGTAGTACCACCAACTATTCTACGGTTTTTGCCAGCGATACCACATTCTTAAAAAGAAAAAATGATTTGTCTGACTTATTTTGTGGATGCTCTTAATTTCAACCGTACAATACTGAAAACAATCTTACCACATGAACGATTAACTTTATCTGTACAAACCTAACAACACGAAATATAATAAAAACCTTGAACTTCTATTAAAATATTCTTTAATTTATTTAAAAATACTCACCAGTTTGATCAGTAAAACTAAAATTAATATTGCTTTCATTTTAGTTTAGAACTCAAAATAGAATTAGGTAAGTTCATAAACATGGCGACGCATGTCCGAGTTATATCGTTGGCAATAAAAGAAATACTTGAAGATTTTAATTAATTTTCTGACGACAATCTGCCAAATATTTACGATCCAAAGGTTTTTTCATTTTACAGTTTATTGCACAATTTACATTAAAAGTAATAAATTGCTAGAATATAGGTAGATAGGGGGATATTTGGAAATAAATTGCTGAAAACAAAATTATTATTACTAGAATTTTTTTATAAAATGAATATTACCTGTAATTTATATTATTTCAAAAAAAATCCGGCTAGCTAGCTAGGCTAGAATTTTAAATATAACTTTTTGTCTGTTGTATGTAACCGCAGAAGTGCCTATTTTTTGTTTTACAACTTTTTTTTTGCTTGTTAACATTGTCCTTTAAAAAATATATCTGTCTTATAAGTAAGTGAAGACATACAAATTAAACAAAGCATAAAAATATACTCCTTATGTACCTTTATAGTAAAGTGAAAATAAAAAAATAATAATAAAAGCTAAACTCAACCAATGAAAATTCACGCAAAAAAAGTAATTCTGCAAAATTATATAACTTGTTTTTTTTTCATTTAACATTTAGTCTAACGTCTTGAAATAAAAGAAACCATTATATCAAAATATATGTTAAATAGGTAATATTTTCTTTACACTCTCCAAAAATGTCAAAAGAGCAAATATTTAATTAAAACATATTTCAGTGTGGAGAGTTAATGACAAAAAAAAACGTTTCACTAAATTTGTTATGTTCCAAGAATAATAAAGATAATAAAATCGTGTAATCTACCGTTTACATTTTTTGTCAAGCGAACGGCGGTGTGATTTAAAAACACTGAGTATTCCCAACACCAATATAACTTAATAACTACAATGTCGAAACATGGAAGGAATCTGATGACATGCTTAGGAAAAGTCTTCTCCATCAAGTACCAAAAATATATATACTGATTCACTTGTGTTAGATTGTGAAAATATTGTAAACTTGTACAACGTCTGCCAATAATAATTAATTTTCTTACGATGGTTGCTTTCCCAGCTTTTATTTTAAAAAGATAACAATATGTCACAACCCTCGTCTACATTATTTCCACTGCAACTCCATTCAGAACTTGGTGGGGTTGCTTTTATCTACTTCTTTATTAATCATTATATTTCGGTGATTTGATCACAAACGTAGTCTTCCTTAGATGGGATATAAAATATTTACCTAAAACATAGTAAAATATATAATAGGCAGAACTAAAAAATAAACTCACACGTGAAATAAATGATGACTCACATGTGACTTTAGCTCGTAACCACGGCCCATGCAACCTAATCGTAACGTCAAGCAAAGTTATTAATACGTGATGACCGTGTTTTTAAATTATATTAATCCACTAGCTTTCCGCCCGCAGCTTCGCCGCGTGGAGTTCGGTTATATCGCGTTTCCAAGAGAACCTTTCAAAAGTCTGGGATAAAAACTATCCTATGTTCTTTCTCAAGGTCAACTCTATCTCTGTACCGAATTTCATTAAAATCAGTTCAGTGGTTTAGGCGTGAAAGCGTAGCAGACAGACAGACAGACAGACAGACAGAGTTACTTTCGCATTTATAATATTAGTAGGGATTTTACAATACGTAAGCCATAATTTAATCTTTTTACATAGTTTCATACACTTCAAAATTTAATCTGCTTAGAGATTATCATAACAAACTTAGAGCACATTTGCGAGAGGCTAGTCCAGCGAATTAAACTAAATTCAAGTATTGAACTCTAAAATACGACTGAGTATATTCTTCTGGATGATGCGTAATATAGATAATTTTGTTAAAAAGAAAATGTCCTGTAAAAGGTAATAAATCAAAGAAATATTGCCATATTATGTATGTTGGTTATGGAAAAGTACAAATCTCAAATTGAACATGTTTTGTTTTGTGTTTCAAAAACCAATTATATATTTATTATTTTCATTTAAAATATTGTGGAAAAAAAAATTCTTCTTATGCTACCAAACTAAAATTACGTTCTTTAATTATTATTTTTTACTAAATAATTTACAAAATATTTAATTAATAAAGTGTAGTTTTCTTTTCACATTAACATGTTTTGTTTTATTTGTTTCATTTACTGACATATTAAAAACCTCAGCACAAGTTCCTTATACATAGTAGATTAGCGTCTAGAAAAGATATCGGACAAGCGTATAAGTGTAAGTAAGACATACACGTGTAAAATTCTACATGTTAAAACTTTATTACGAACCGCCTCTTAGAATAACATACAAAGTTATAAGATATACATATAAAATTTCCGATAATATTACAAACTTAAAAAAAATCAGAATGATTTAAAACATCTAAAATCACTTGTACATCAATCTGTACCTTGTTCGTTTATGTATTACGAGAGTTTTCCTAAAACATCAAATACTTTGACAAGAAATAAAGCTTTGTAACATCATTATACTAAACAATTTAAAAATAATAATATTCTATTTAAGTCTCTATATCAATTCTTATCACTTTCTTTTGTTTGTGAGGAATGAATCCGTAAAGGACGAAATTGAAACGACATGCACGAGATATTTGAAAAGGTATAAAGGTTTCCGAAATAATGCATATCAAAAAATTATTCCCTTTTTGTAATGGTGAACTTATTTTGACCTTTGATGACTAATAATGTATTTTAAAATATTACTTTTGAATTTTATTCTCCTATTAAAAGTCCATCTGTATCAGAAAATATTCCTTTTTATTTTATTTGTATGCTAGCATTAATAAAAACTTAAATATAAAAATTATGCAAAACAATTGAAATAACAATTAGAAGCACAAATAACATGTCATAGGTAGCTACGAGAGACAATAGGCGCTAGAAGTTTGAATGTTTATTTGTATGGAAGTCCCGTTTATTTATACGCATTAACTATTTATGTTATTTATTTATTTTTAATATGTAGAATACTTTGCTTATACGCCTTTTATGAACAAGTAACAGCAACCGTTTTTTTTTTCTTCCATACGTGTTATGAAAATTATTTTGGGTGGGTCAGATTTTTTCTTTGCATTATCTTCAAAATTTCAAATAAAAGGTTGAAAAAACTGTAATGAACCAATAAACAATAAAACAACATATTTTATACTGGCATACCTGCAGTCAACAACTAGTGTTAACTTAAAAAATAAAATGTTTAACTTTAAATTAGGCCATCGTTAATTAGAATACAAAACTCTGGGTTCAAGTTCAATTGCTCAACAAATCTAATGAACAATGCAATACAGATATTTCATAGACAGTTAAACCTTTATAAGAATTAAACAAGAAAATGCTTAGATTGTCCACTCTCGAACGACAAAAAGGGATCACACGATGACAGTTAATACGAATATTTTGCATCCAAATCAATATAATACAGACGTAAAAATATCAAAAGAACGATATACTAATTTTGATAATGACACTCTTAAGAAATTTGGAACTGACTATTCATATAAGCATCAAATAGTCTGGAAAAATGCTATCGGATTCTTTATTTTACATATATTGGGTATTTGGGGGCATTTTATAGTATTCACTGGCGGCATTTACTGGCAAACGTTTATATGGGGTAAGTTTTTAATGAATATCGTTTACTTACTTTTTAGAAGCTGTAATATTAAAAGAATGAATATGATAAATTAGTACTAAAATTGAAATAACATTTTTTTAGGTGCATTACTACTAGTCACAAGTGCGGAAGGTGTCACCATTGGAGCTCATAGACTATGGTCACACAGAACATTTAAAGCAACACCTCTACTAAAAACCATTTTATTAATACTCCAAACTCTTGCTGGACAGGTAATATAGAAACCAATCCTCACATATTTCTACCGAATACTAGAACGAACTATTTTACCACATTCAATATTCCAGAACTCAATATTCACTTGGTGTCGCGACCACCGTTTACATCATCGCTACTCAGACACCGATGCAGATCCCCATAACTCAAAAAGAGGATTTTTCTTCAGCCATATTGGATGGCTCCTATGCAAGAAACATCCATATGTAAAGGAATTAGGAAGAAGAATTGATATGAGTGACTTACAAAATGACTGGATGATAATGACACAAAAAAAGTAAACTTTTTTCACGTAAAAATCTAATATTATTATTTCCTTTACATGTACATTCATATATTGTTTATTTTTTAGATATTACCCCTACCTATATTTAATAATTGCTGTGATAATCCCTATATCAGTACCATACTATTATTTCGGAGAATCTTTAAAGAATTCGATATTGGTGTGTTACTTCGCCAGATACGTTTTTCTATTAAATGGAACTTGGTTAGTTAATAGTGCTGCACATCTCTATGGAACACGACCATATGATAAGTAAGTGTTATAAAATTAGACAGAGTTCTTTCAAAAGTGCTGATATCTTTGTTGTATGTTAAATAACTTATGTCTTGAATTTTCCAGGAAACTTCAACCCGTTGAGTCTTGGTTCGTCTCATTTTTAACTCTTGGAGAGGGCTGGCATAACTATCACCATGCTTTTCCTTGGGACTACAAAGCCGCCGAGCTATCTATGCATTTCAATCAATCAGCTACTTTTATAAGGATGTTTGAAAAATTAGGACTTGCTTATGATTTGAAAACTGCATCCCCAGATATGGTATATAATTTTGAAGTGCTTTAACAAAGACTAGTACTAATATCTTGATATTATTTTGATCTTAATCAAGTAATACAATCTTTATTATATGTACTTATAGGTACAGCGACGTATAATTCAAACAGGAGATGGAACGCATTACGCTCTCGGCAATGACGAAGACAGAAATGCTGTCACTTGTATTGGCATTAAGCATCCTATAAACCCTACATATACAGTGAAATATCAAGATCCTACTGTTATGCTAGCAATAAGAGGTTTACCTCTTAACCACCAAGATGATTACTTAGAACCTAATGTTCTTAAAAGAAATGTTGCCGCCTCTTAGTTCTATAGTATTATTAATGTTAATATTCAAATTTGATTTAAAATAAGTAGTTCTTCGATTTACAATAGCTAAATTCTATTTTTAGTGCCTTAAGTATAATATATATATATGTATGTTAAATATATGATCGTAATCGTAATCGTGATAAAACTCTGCATATAGATATTTTCCGATTTCTGAAAATACATATAATGATAAATTGTAATTAAGTGTAGCTACGTCTCTTTTCTACCTCCTTTATTAATAAAATAATATAAATAAAGAAGCTGTCTTTTATGATTGAGCAACTACCTGGTATTCTTCAAGTTATGTTACCAAAAAATCAAAGCAGATTTTACAATTTAAAGTAAATTGTAACAAATATAGACATTTCGTTTAAATAAAAAGATTTTTATTTATTCTGAACACTAACCAATTAACGTTTATTCAAATTTTTCATATCAGTATATAAAATACAATACCCAATCGCCAGTAAAAATTGATTATTATTATCGATTCCATTTGTTTACTTTAATTGGAATCTAATAATTTAATCTGAACAATGCTAAATTATTCTTTGTTTTGTATAAGGTCATTACTTTTCAAGGTCGATATATTATACAAAAATAAAATAACCTACATTTAATATGATACATAAAGAAGTGATATAGTACAGTAAATGAGTTTTTCCCCGATTTCGTTGAATCTCCATTAGTTTTTACTAAAATTGGTGATTAGATAGGGAATACCTTAATACATGAAGAGAAGTGATATAGTAGCCACTTTCATTTTTGCGTTGGGGAAGCCACCCGTACTCAGGGTTAAAAATTATTTTATTAAAAATAACCCCAAGTATCAACGGATCTCTCTATTCTAAGCGAAATTTGTTAGAAACAGTTTTGAGAATTAATCAATTCTTTCTGGGTTATTAAAGATCAAAGATTGTGAGGCGTTGAGGAGTGCGATTAGCTATACTTAATGATTATCCAAAGAATATAAAGAAAAATAAAGCTATTGTCTTTCTGCTAAGCAGCTAATGGTTCAAATAAATTTGGACTTAGAGATTAAACATTTCGTTAAAACCTACGATGATTTAAAATATAAAAGAAGATTAGTTTGTAAAGCATTTATATATAAAACATAAATTCCATTTACCTAATTAAAATACATTTCTTTTAATTAAAAATAAGGCCATTATATAAAAAATCCTGTTCGTAAATTAGTTTGAGCAGACACATCCGTGACGAGAGTTGTCTTTGATCCAATTCAAGTATTTTGTAACTCTTGTGTAGACCCCTGGATATCCACGTCTTCCACAACCAATACCCCAAGAGACTATACCTATAAAATATAAAATAACAAATTTAAAAGGTATATTAATAAGACGTTTCCAAAAAAATATGATTTTTAATGCACAAGTTTAATACTGCACATTTTTTGGAGGATATATTATTACTAAAGGACTAACCGATCCTAAATAGCACAATAAATCGAATAAAGACTAATTTTACTATGCTTTTGTATCGAGTATGTTACGAATTCATATAAGAGTTATTTATTTATTCAAGCATTCAACTTTAGAGTTATTCCCAAAATGTAAAAAACTGATATTAATTCCAGAGCAAAATGTAATTTATATTTATTAACAGAAAATTAATCTAGCTCTTACGCAATATACCTATGTTCTCAAAATTTAAATAAACGTCCTAATCTATTCTACTTTCTTATCTTGGTTCTCGCTATTACATATGTATATCTCTATGAGGGGTTCAAGTCAAGCAATATTAATGGATTTTTTTTGTTTCTATACCATTCTAGTATGTAAGGTACATTGTTATGCAGACGAGTGATAATGAAGTTAGTGCATTAAATTGTTTATTCAAGATAACAACAGTTACAAACGTCTACCTCACAAAATTTTGGATGAATAATTATATTAAAATTCTTTACCCAGCAGTTCGTAACGTTTGTCCTTTCTCTCCGCAGTAAGAGGTCCACCACTGTCACCCTGAAACATAAAATAATTGTTAAAAAATATAAGTAATAGTATTCCTTAAACTCAAACTTCTTTAATAATTTCATGCTTTCATGTGATATACATATATTTTTTTAAGATTGAAATTTAATATCTTTATACCAGATTCATTTCGGGTGTAGACTAGTAAATGTAGAGAGTTTTACGAAAAGTGTGATCGGGCGAGGGGAAAAAACGAAAAGGAAATACTACTTTGGGAATTTAAAAAGAAAATAGTTACGTTTCGCATAATTTTTCTTTCTTTCTCTCATAGCCAGTTATGTGGCAATTAAAGAACCCTTAATTTAGTGTATTATTTATTCAATTCTTTTATTATTTTCTGATTAATTCATTGAATCGATTTTTTCCTCCATGTAATTTAATACTTTACAAGAAAAATATTTCAGTTCTGACTGTAGTCATGGTTTTCGACTTAAGATAATTTGTCGCGATAAGCATTAAAATTTTTACACACTAAGTTTTAAACGACTCTTTAAATGTGTATAGTTTTCTTGGTAACTGATAAAGATAACCAATTATAAAATATTTTGCTTATACTAAGATTTTAATGCAATTATTCATAGTAATTTAAGACAACAAGTATTTATTGATTGTGAAAACTATTAGGTAATTAATGCAGCTCACACAAAACAATTATTTGTGAAATAATAGATAGGTATATATGACTATCATATTTATAAAACTGAAAAAATATATAATGGTTAGATGGAACGTTAAATTGGGAACTGGCGCCTTGAAACTGTTACAATTTACCATCAATATTACAAAATTTTAAGCAATTCTGTTTTTCAAATTCATATACATACGACGATGTATGAAGAGTATACTTAAATTTTAAACATTTACATATATTTTATGAAAGATATAAAATTTTATACAATAAACTATTAAGCATAACTCATAATAATGAACTATAAGCTATTAAGTACATGGACTTAAAAAAGTATCATCTCAATGATACTCCATTTACCTGACAAGTGTCCCTTTGTCCTTCGTCAGGGTAACCGGCGCAGAGCATCCCATCAGATATCATGCTCGTCTCATACATAGTGTTTCTACAGACGTCATTACTAAGAACTGGCAATTCCACGTTTAATAGAGTGCACGAATGATTTTTCTGCTCACCAATCGATCCCCAACCAATGGCAATCGCTTTCACCCCCACGTAATCATTATCTTGAAAATATAATGAAAATTAAAGTTCACATAGATGTATTAAAAATGCTTTTTAAATAGTCACCGACGTTCAAAATTGCAAGTTGCAAAATTAACAAAGAATATGAAAATTTCGATGTAATTACATAACAAATACATAATAAATTATTATTATAAATAAATTATTATTTGGTGAAACTAATTTAAATTAAATAAATAATATTAGAAGTAATTATGACAACTCACTTTTAGCACTGAACATCATCACATAAAAGTTGCTTGTTATAATAATATAATAAGAAACAATAATAAAAAACAACCATGTAGACAATACGACAGTATTTTATTAAAGATAATTAATTACCTTGACTTTGGGGCAGACATATAGGTTTGATTGTATCTGATATTTCGATCGGTTCGTTCAATCTCAAAACGGCAACGTCATCCCTGAACGTTAAATAGGTAAAGTTGTGGGCAACAACTTGTACTACATAACGTGTTACAGGACGCGTGTCGTTACAACGGTTGTGCTCTCCCAAAGTAACCTTTATCATGAACCACATTAAACTGAAAATAAGTAAGAAGTAATAATTCGTTAAGTAATTTTATTAACATCGTTTTATTATATGAAATACCACATTACTAGATCAATTTCTATTTTTTGTTATAATTGGAATGTCAATTTCTGTGTCTACTTTTTGCAATATAACGCCTTAAAGGAATCTAAAAGTACGTGAAGAACAGGGTTCTTTTTATTAGTATAATGAATAAGCAGAACCTTTTGGTAAATTGGTCTTTGAAAATGTGTTAACATTGAACTTTTTTTCATAAATGTTATTTTATATATAATAAATATCTAATTCATATCCTTACTCATTTAACACACCACTTTGTTTATCAAAATTAAATTTCTCAAGAATACTACATAAAGAGGTCGAAATATTTTAACGAAAGACTTTAATAACACAATCAAACCAGCGTCTCTTCTACATGACACACCACTGTGACGAATGTAATGTCGATTTTGTATGATTTAGAATTATACATTTTATTGCGTGTAAAAATTCTCACTATAACTAATACTAGTTCGCGTTTGTTAACATGAAATTTGAATTATGTATGTCTATCAACGATAAAAATTAATCTATCATTTTGAAATATATCTAGATTTATTCCCGAGACGTGTAAGGCGATATTAATAGTCTTAATATGACACGAGTAACGTACCCTTTAACACAATGAGCAGCAGTTAGGATGTATCTATCGTTTATCAGCATGCCTCCGCAGTAGAACTTGTTGAAATAAGTCAGACGAGCGACCCATGGGAACTCGTTCACTGATGTTTCAACTCCACCCACAATACGAGATTCTTCGTTTCTTTCACCGCAACCTAATAATAAGTTATAAAAGGTAAATAAATAAATCACTTACACAAAAGAGCTTGACAATTTATTAAAGCTCGATAAGACAATACATTTAGGCAAGATAAATAAAAATATTATTAAAAAAAGGACATAAAATATACTTACGACAGTTACACCTGTTTTGCGAATCTTGATATAGTTCTTCTAAAAGCTCCTGATCAAATGTAGTAGCTGGAGTAGTCGTAGTAGTAGTAGTAGTAGTAGTAGTAGTAGTAGTAGTAGTAATACTACTACTTATATTAGAATTGCTAGAACTTTCAAAATTACCGCTTGCCACAGTGGTAGTTTCTTTTGTTTCATCCAATTCTTTATCTCCTAAAGCCTTCATAATCACAAAACGCAAAATAATTTACAAATAGTATAAAATAAGTGTTATAAAATCCAAAATATAAACTTACCACATTTCCATGAAATAAAAGGAAAATAATCACAATAGATTTCCACATCACTGTAATTTAATTGGTAGGTTTTATAATTTTATATCAGCACTAGCCCCAGGCTGTACCAGAGAGAGGATGCAACGGGAATGAGGACGTTGCTCCCTCAACCACATTATTATGCGCTGTTCTATTATTAGGCTGGACCAGCTCTGTTAAGGACGACTATCCACTTAATTATATTATATCAGATTATGCTATGTTATATGTACTAAGTTTTACTTACTTGTTCCGTACATTCAGAGATACATGTTAACAATTAATTGCCGAAATATAATGTAATTTGAATGCGTTCTTATTTTTATGGTATTCATAAATTATGATTTTTTTTGTTGAATCACAGAAATTATACGAGAGCCGAGGAATTTATGTTTATACGTAAAATCATAATTCGATATGGTGATTCTACAATAACTATGGAAACATTTGAATATAATGAAATCACACACGGTTGTATAAACACTATATTATTAAAATACAAGCGATTTAAAGCATGATACTTTCTTGAGTTATATATTAATAGTCACAATAACAAGCGTCTTCTGTGTTATCACGAATCCAGTCCAAATATTTCGTTACTCTCGTGTAAACGCCAGGGTAGCCTATTCTAGCGCATCCATAACCCCAAGATACTATACCTGAAGTATAAAACAAAATAAAACCTTATATAACCAATTTAAATCAATGAAATATGATTAAGGAAGATTCTTACAACTGCATGTTTATATATGGAAAAAAAGTCAAACTAAATTCCTAGCAAAGTGTCTTATTATTTTATAATTAAACATACCAATTAATTCGTAAGCGTGTTCACTATTTTCAATAAACAAAGGTCCACCGCTGTCTCCCTAAAAATAATAAAAATATTTTTAGAATATTATTTTAAATTTTACTTACAAATTAAAGACTTTAATTAAGGTCTATCAGTCAGAATCGAATAAAAGAAAAACTCTTAGTAATAACTCTAAAATTCAGTTAAGAATCGAGATCAAAATAGTACTAATACATTGAATGGAAAATGTTGCAAGGATTCATGAATTCTTAGATATGTGTTTGAAAAGTAACTCCACATAATTTGGCGAAAGTTATTTGAATTGTTCCAGTGGTAAAGATAAGTGGGAAAACAAAAGAAAATAATAAGTCAGTGAGTTAAAACTTACAGTGCAAGCGTCTATATGAGCGGTTTCTGGAAATCCAGCACACATCATAACGTCTTTAATTTTTGTTACTTCATATTTCGTCTTGGTACAATTCTCATTGCTCAGTATTGGCAACTGAGCCTCGAGTAACGTACACGACCATTTACCAGTTTCTTTGACGGCTCCCCAACCAGCGACAGTCGCTATTATACCTTCGTATAAATTATCCGCTACAAAGATAAAATGTTGACATATTATTAGGTTGGTGCGTATGAAATGTCGGATTCTTAAGTGTTTGTATAAAACTGCATATCTTTCTTCAAAAGCTATTTATTCAATCAAAGTATGCTCCATTCGCTTCAATATACTTCTCCCAACGAGATTTTAAAGCGTAAATGCCTATCTTAAAAAAATTTTGGTCTTTAGAATTAATAAACTCTGATATCGAGATTTTTAGACTGCCTTCTTTTTCATAGTGTTTTTCCCTTAAAAACAGCTCTAAATGCTTGAAAAAATGAAAATCGGTCGGCGAGAGATCCGGTGAATATGATGGATGCAGCAAAACTTCATATTCCAGTTCGTTCAGTTTCGCAATTGTTTTGTGCGATGTATGCGGCCGAGCGTTGACATGGAGCAGTAGCGGGCCCTGCCGATTCACAAGCGATGGGCGTACAATTTTTAACTTATCGTGCATCTTATCAATGTACTGGCACTACTTTCGGCCGTAATTGTCTCCCCAGGTCGAAGGAACGAATAATGGATTACCCCAGCCGCGTTCTTTCGGTCTTCCGCGGGGCTCATTTTGCAGTGAAAAAATCGCCAGTCCGAAATTTTTCGAACCAACGCTGCACTTTCCGATCGTTAACCGTATTCTCCCCAAACGCTTGGTTTATGTTGCGTGCAGCTTTTGCAGCACTATTACCAAGTTTGTACTCATATAAGAAAATGACGCGAATGTCGGTAGAATTCATATCGGCAATAAACTCAAAGAAATAACAAAAGAGAAGACCTTCGAGAAAACCTATTTTGCTGAAGTGAGTCTCTGGCAATGGACAATACGACTATGAATAAGGTAATGCCAAAGACAAAAGTATAACGAAAACAGGGAGACAAACGTCCGCATGTAAAGAGAATGCGACATTTCATACGCACCAACCTAATATTATTACATACCTCCATTTACCCAATAAGTATATCATATAAAAGATTTTTTCTTTGCATAACTACTATAAGTTTTAAATAAATAATATTTTTTTACGTTTATTTTAAAGACTTTTGTATATTTGATTCATTATTTTTATAAATCAAACCTAATCTTTGTAGTCTAAGCGTAAATTTTGTTTAATTTATTTAATTCATTTTGTATCTTAACTCGCACCTATAAAAATCCCACAATACTCAATCTGTCGAGCGTTTAAACACACATACTTTTATAATCGAACCTAACCAATTAGTAATGAACTCTCTGAATGAAATGAAGGAGTTATGAAAACTATGTAAATAATATGTATTTTTTTAAGTAAATCAAATTATAATATCTGTAATGATAATATTAAGACATCTCAAAGTCATTTGGTCATACGTAATCAAAAGTACTCCAAAATTTACGATTTTGTGATAAAGCTATAAAATTCCTAAATTTATGAATTATAAATTGAGTCGGAAACCTTCATAAAATGTTTTATAAATTTAAGATTGAAAAAAATTTCTTGTTTAATGACTTTTGAAATTGTTATTAACATATACAGATAATAAAATGTTTATTGTTATATATAAAAAGCAAAAAAATCTTGGAGCTATGTGACATAAGAAATGATATTTATATATAGATATAAAATTTTGTATGCAAAATGATTCGATGGTAGGTAACAAAGATGAGGAACAATGAAGCTTTACAGAAACATACGACGCGTTTTATCTGAACAATTTCTTAAATATAACTGACACTAATTAAATAAGTCTCCCCGGGGTTTTAATACTAATTTGTATTCTATTGCAAACTAATAAATACCTAATCAACAATAACCTACGTAGATGCAAAATTTTAATGCAAAAACAGACTAAAAATGTCAAAAATGAATATATAGGTATATCCTTTTTTGTGCTAATGACTAAGCCGAGAAGAAAATATCGCATATTTTAAAAACGACGGCCGATAATTAATATAAATATAAGTAACCACGAAGAACACTTAGAAATTGATGTAGTCTCGGTGTATCATAATCAACTTTTATTTTATTCAAAGCAAATAAGCAAAATTAACCATACAGTATGTAAAATTACATTAACGTTTCTACATTAATTAATACCTAGTCTAATTGTGAAAATTTTTATAACGAGCTCACGCTTTATCCATAGTTGTTAATTTTATTCAGATAGTTTAAGATAAACTTAAACAAAAGTTTCCAAAGAGAACAGTTGAACCTATGTTTATATTTATACCACGTATAATTACAATATTACATTACTACTGAATATTTAAATAGAAACATACCTGTTTTAGGCAGACAAACGGGTCGGATAGCATGTGTATACTCCAAAGGTCTATTGAGCTGAAGTAGTGATATGTCATTAGTTAATTCTGTCAAAGTAAAGTTGTGTACATACATCTTAACTACTGTACGAGTTTCAGCCACGTGACCAGGAACACAACGGTCATGCTCACCGAATTTCACTTTGAATAAGAACCACATGAATCTGTGAAGAAAATATATAATATTAATTAGATTTTGTAAGCCCTGTAATGCTCATATCGTGACAAATGTTAAAGTTTTCACCATTAGGAAGACCCATGTCACCTTTATAAGTAATTTTAATATCAAAATCATTTATAATCATTTATTTCAAGTGTGATAAGCAGTTGACGTGATCCATGAGGAAGGTGATAAAAACCAGATTATGGCTTTTTAAAAAATTGGTGACCTGACATCTCCCTCTTGATAAATATACCTTTTTTGTTTATAATATTAAGTAAAACAGTTTGTTCAATATCCGGTAATGTGGGTTTAGAAGACCTAATGACTCTCTAACCGTAAAGACTAAAGATTAAAAAAAAACTACATATTACGCGACATTTTCTTTTTCGCTTCACTTAATCAAACAATTACTACTTCAACTATTTTATTACCGAAAAATCGAAGTCTTTTTTTACTAAGGTTACATATTATAATACAAACACTACTGAGACATCTCGTGGTAAATTAAATAAGATTTTTGATAAGTTGTTGCAAATGCACCAATAAAAAAATAATTTTGTGGAAAGAGGAATATTTTATACTTATGCTTAACCGGTACATACATTGTTTTTGAATTGACTAAGCGCCTCATCATTATCAAACATGTTCAGTTATGTTATAACTAAAATAATTGCTCACAGATCGTTTTCAGGAGAAATTCTTCTGTCTGATTCTTTATAAACTAATAAGTCCTTTAAAAGCATGTATGTAGATAAATAGATAATAGTTTCGTAGGTGTTTATTTGAGGTCGTGGTAACTGTCATCCATTATGACACCATGTGCTTGTTGCCCTACATGTATGGCAGATATTTAAAATAAAGAATAATTTATTTTTGTAACGTTGAAATTATTTTATAAAAGAGACTCCAATAATTTTAAACCTGGACGCTTAACAAATGAAGGAATACCTTAAATTGATTTAAATCAGCCACCTCCTAATTTATGCAACAAAACATTAAATAAATTTTGATGTTTTTTTCTTTTTACACGTTACACCATCTTCAATCTTGTTATAATAGCGTAAATAAAGTTTTTTCTTTATTTGACTTAAATCATCGATCGTAAATCTTAAGTCGTAAAGATTATTTATTGAATTTAAACCACCCACGACATTATTTACAATTTTGTGTGCTTTTTTAAAATTTGCACACTAATGCATTTTGGACGTACAACATAGAAGCAAGTACTTTGTATAAGTAAGGCTGAACTTCGCAGGCATTACTTTAAAAAAAACCCTATGACTTTTTTTTTGCTATTTACCTATATCATGGTAAGCACTGTATACGAATCGGTTTGTAGTTAAGTCACTAATATTTGTAAAGACAAATTATATTAAGGTTTTTAACTATTACTGTTAAATCAGTAAAAAGGCAACATAATGTATCTACATTAAAGTAATATTGCTTCAAGCAAAATATGGAATATCTCTGTTGTTCCAACACTTTTCTACTGATAAATTGTAAAATGCTAGCCTTAGTCTTTATTAAAATAACCTTTTTTATATATAATATATTCATTTATATTCCTACCACCTCATGCTAAGAAGCATCTTTCAAGTCCTGTGATACTTATAGATTTCGCTGTTCACAAACCCCGATATTAATAATCATACATATATTTTTAGAACAAAAAAAAATATATATTATCCTTGTTAGTAATACAAGAAAATAAAATACTCTTTCTAAATTATTACCTTCTATGTAACTAAAACATTTAGATTTTTTTAGTAATAGAGACTTCCACGTTAAACTTCAATACCACTAAACCTGTAGATTTAAAGAAAGGCGCCTAAATGTAGAAAAAATATATAACTGAAAAGGACTAGACACTTTATACCACACAAGTGTGAAATTAGTTGTAATATACCGAAACTAGGTTACAATAATACATCCCAATTTGGTGAAAGAGGCATACACCTTTTTTTATTTATACAGGGTGACTGGTGAATTACTATCAATATTTAAGGAGAATACTCGGTACATGATTCTCATTCGAATTATGTAAAAAAAAATAGGTACTAAATTTTTGACCAAATTTCCGTATAAATAAATAGAGTGTGGACACGTTCCAAGTGTTCCAAGTGTGGACGCGTGCGGCGGCGTGCTGATACAACACTACGCCGCCACACGCGTGTGTGTGTGTGTGTGTGTATACCTAATCTGTAGGGTGTTCACACGATGCGTAATTAATTTCATAACTTTTGGTTATCTTTACTTAGAAGTTTATTAATATTTATCTTATATTAATTTTTATTTTGTCATATATGATCGTCAAATATCACGTCCTCAAGTATCAATAGTAATTCACCAGTCACCCTGTATAGTTCATTACTTTTAAACATAGTAAGATTTGCATACTATAGTATAACAATTATAATTCACTTACCCCTTCACACAATGAGCTGCTGTTACTACGTATCTGTCATTGATGACCGAAGCACCACATCCGAACGACTTATAATAGATTAGACGAGCCGTCCAAGGATATGCGTTCACGTCTGTTGAAGAACCACCCACGACTCTAGGTTCTTCATTACGTTCTCCGCAACCTGAAAAGTATTTAACCATGAGACAACTATACTTAAGAGAGATACCAACTTTAATAAAATTGATTTATAATCTTGATTAAACATCAAAATGTATCTAGGTTCCAGTATATTAAGTTAATTTAGACCTTTCTTTTATAATAATACGTATTTTTATCAATTAACAAAAGCTTCTTAGTATGTACATATAATAAAGACAAGCCTTTAAATCATGTTTGTAGGAAAAGACTATAAGGCTGAGTAATTTTTATTTGTGTACTTAATTTTAAGAGCATAATAGGTATTATATTATTTTTTGAAACAAGAGAATTTTGAACATATTGTTTCTATTTTTAACTAAATATTAATCAAAATAACAGACATAATGTAGAAGTGTAAATAATTTATGTGATCGATACTATTATTATTGTTAATTTTATACACATTTATTGCCTGTATATAAAATATTATTTTATATATTTTCTTGAAAGTAAAAAAAAAACAATCAAAACACTATTTTGTTTAATTCTATTAAATGTTTAAACCCGGTAATTTATTTCTTGGCATGAATGGATCATAAGCTTTTGTATAAAATAAATAAAAATAATAAATTACTTATACTTCTTACTTATTTTTCTAATATATACTATTAAGTAGTAGTTAAATTTTAACTACTACTTTATATAAATATCTTTTAGATAAATTTTATCTTAAAGATCTTTACAAAATTTGAACATACAGAAGTTTTTTAATGACTTTAAAGTTTAATTATTATCTTAGATTTTAAACTTACTACAATCACGACACGGCGGTAAATTGTTGTTTTGACCATAAGCGTAATATTCATCGCTTACTCTCAGTAAATTCTGAAAATGATAAAATCATTTTAGTTATATGTGATAAAAGAAACATAAAAACTATCAACAAAAACAATCAATGTTCAGTATATATAAATAATGTTTTAAATTATTGTAATAGTAACCACGAAATTCCAAAATTAAGACTTAGACAATAATTCTATTGAAATATCTATACATTTTTTTTAAAAGATATATTTTATGTGAAGTATTAAGAATTCTTACCTTGGTCAATGTGTCTGTAGAACATAAAGACACGCATAGCATTAAACAAAGTACATACAAAAACATGTTCACTTATCTGAACGAAGATGTAAACACTCACATAAACAGCGCAATAATGTGCTTAAGGTTCAAAGATTTCGACACACTAACTCATGTCGCGGTCTCAAACCACTTTAAGACTGTGCTCCCTAAAATGTATCACGTCATTAATAAAAAACAAAAATTATTACAGCAGTAACCCGTCGTGTTATCGTAAGGTATATTTTATTTACAATTCACTCGTATTACAAGAGGAAAAACGCAACGATTAAGTTTTAGAGATTTTGCTCAGGAGCTTTTGAAGACGACGTATAAGGCGCCAATCGGTGGCTTAATGTTCGAACATGTTATTTGGCAATGACCTCAGAGATCAACGAACCCGCAGATAAATAATAACTCAAATTGATTCTTAATACCATTGATATAAAGCTTTGATAGCCTGGTCTAGGCGATGCGCTTAGTAATGAGTTGTTGACTTAAATAAATTATTCTCAATAAACTATGAAATGTTTGAATTAATTAACATACCAAACAAATTTACCAGTATTTGCAAATAATAAAAGGAAGTGCGAACATACATAATGAATGTAAACTGTCTTTAACTAGGTACGTATTAAACTAGTACCTAGTCGCTTTTACAAGCGACTATTAAATATGGAAGAAAATATTCATACTTTGTAAAGACTTGTACTTCGATTATTTTTGCCACAAATGAGATTTGTCTAAAGACAAATATTTCGATTAATAAAAGTGATAGAAACTCTCTTTTGGAAATACATTTGTTTTTGTCTAAATTAAATAAAACTGGTTTCTTATGATTTGTTTTCTTAGTATTATAGGGAAGTATAAAAACAACGTTTTAGTTCTTAAATTATAATCAAAGAAATTCTGTTTAATAAACTATTATTTAAGAAATAAAATCCATTCATTTATTGCATATAAAATCTTACAACGGATCGCCTTTACTTAAACCGCTGATGAAATAATTTGGGTACTTTAAATAAGAGATGTAAATGTTTATAACTGTTTTAATTAGATCGCAAGATTGATAACATATACCTTGATGATAACACGAAAAAATATCATAAAATATTGGTACAGGTGAATGAAAGTGCATTAGATTTCTTTCGGAATGAATAAGAATTACTAGATTTGTTAAGATTGACTAAATCTCTGTGAAATTCCCATTGACGGCTTGAATGTATTTCCTTTGATAGGTATAATAAAAAATGTAGCCTAAATTTTTCCATTTATCAATAGCAAAATATATTTGAATTTATTATAGTTTTCTGAGGTTAAACAAAAACAACAATCATTTCCTAAAAATTAGGATTTCTGATAGACGCAGGACAAGGTAAACATTTCAAATATCTGTTATTAATTAAACTTTTGCCTGAAATATCCTTTTTAAATTCTCATTATTTTAAATAAGAAAAATCTATCCTGAAAGTCGGAGGTATGTTATATACAACATTGACAAAAACAACGAATGTAACAAAGCGTGCTTTCAAACACCCAACATGTATGTATCCTTAGCAACTCATATGATTCGTTGAGATGTTTATAAATAGCAAATAAGTACCATCTGCATACACATACAATTAAACAAATTGTTTACAACATAATTCTTTGAAAAGGCAAATGTAATTTTTAATTAAAAATAATAATACACTTAACCCGATACAACAAGAGATAAAATTTTTATGAGAAAAACAAGACCTCTCTAAACATCCATAAAATATAAAAATGATTGTAAAAATTTTAACTATCCAAACTCTCCAAATTTCTACTGAAACTCAAAGAAGACAAACTCAACATAATCATACAAGGGTATGAACAACTTCTCTTCTTATGCAATTCTTTCAAGATTTAATTACCACGCCAGTCCATGAAAGATATTATCAAAGCCTATGTGTTTCAGTCTGATTACAGTGCGCTGTGAACCATTGTTGAGCTGCGCCACCAAAAGGTACTTATGTCAGTGAACGGGATAAAATATTTTACCTCCTAACTTTTTCATTTCTTGTAATGTCCACACATCTCGACGAATCTCCAGTAGACAAGCAAACCTACCGCTTAAAAAAGCAGCATAGAAATATTATATCTTATCCCAATCTGCTCACTTGTGCCACTACATTTTCTTTCCACTGTAAATCTCATGATCCAGACGAGGATTTGTAAATACAGACGTAATACGACTATAGTCAATAAGAGACAGAAAAATCTAAGTTATATGTCAAAATCGTGCGTTTCTTTTCCAGTGTAGTTGTTCAGCTTATTTGGAATCAGCTAGAATTGATGGTGGGTATTTAAACCTTCAAAGTCTTTTTAAGACCACCTGTGCTGAAGGGAAAGAAGTAGGCCCACATCAACAGCCTCATTGCGATATTTAAATAAGCATCGGTAGTCACAGGCATAAACTATTTTGCCCACACCTATTCTACCAGCAACCAGAGGATAGAAAAATTCTGAGTTTTCAACGCTGATAACTGATGTCATTGGAGATACACGCACACAACCCAGGACTCTGAAGAAAGTTATACTCCTGAGAGGAACTAGGACATAGAAACTGCGTCTTCGTCAAAAAAACATTAAACAAGTGCTCTTTACTATTGCAGAATAAGCCTTGCCGCAATTCTACTACAACCTACAGAAGTTGCGGTAGAATTGCAGCAAGAGATTACAGTACAGAAATCTAATGTAAGTAGGGTGTACTTTAAACGAGGGAAAGTGTAACCGTGACTTGCTTTTTCTAATTGTATTTATTTTCCATATTATGAAGACAATGAATAGATTTATATAAAAAATGGAAGTTAACGGACGCCCTTAAAATTAAATCCCAACAACACTGCTCAAGTCACTGTACCATTGATTTTGGGGACTGTGGAGATACTTGGAAATTTCCCCTTCCCCCTCTCCTTCCCTTCTCGGGTCAACATCGGATCCTCTCATAAAATTCCCAATCAGCAACCTTCAGATTACACACAGGATTCGAGATAGCCACTCATGGGCTGCTAGCCTAATAATGGTCACCCTCTGACTTTGAGAAGTCGGAAGAACACCCATCTTGGAATCTTGCTACCCTACAAACCAAAGACCCAACACAACTAAAATCATGGTCTATAGTAATCCTCCTCCTTCATAATCCGTATGGAGCGACTAGACAAAATACCTGAACACGACGAATCTTCTAGCAACATGACCTTTTACCTAATAAGTGCCAACCATGCCGGAGGCCAGTAATAGGGCTTCCTACCCATTAAATCTATTCTCTACAATACACGTCTATTTTTAACTCACTTTTGATGTATTATATACAGTTTTAGTTGAAGTCTTTTTCAAGATCGTCCTTATATGTGGTAATACAGCTGGATGAAAATGAATTTCTACAGTTGGTTTTTGCCATTCTGGTGATTCACAGACAACTTGGTAATTGTAAGAGCTTGCTTTAAATGCAGCAGTTCAATCTCCAGACGGGCTTTGGGATTTCAGAAATTTGCCAACGGTAGCGAAGTAAATTATGTTATTGGTACTTAACGGTAAGCTATCTTTAAAAATATTTTATTTTTTACATATACTCTATATTATATAAAGTATGAGGAATAATATACTCAATAAATTTTGAGAAAAGAACAATTTATAAATTTTAATATATAAGTATCTGAAAATAATTTGCATTTCTGGTCTTTTCTTATTTTATTTTTATATAACTTATTAACTTCTATCAGAACAAAAACCTAAAAAATATCATTATATATTAAAAAAATATTCTTGAACGCTAAGAACTCTCTGACCCGAAAAATGAATCATGTAACCATCTCGTTTGTCAAATTTATTCTGAAGAATATCTTACAGAGGAAATAATTTTATAAAACTAAACAAATCTCTAATCTTAAATAAATTATGGTTTATAAAACAATCAATCAGATTTATATCAATACAAAAACAATATTTCAGTAACATTTATATAAACGTTTTTAATGTTAAATGAAAATAAAATGCAGATAACACAGTGATAACAAGTAAAATGGCTACATACAGAATAATTTTTTTACCGTATGTGATCACTGATATTAAAAAAATATATAATAACTCATTTACAGACTGAAAATAAATTAAATTTCAAATCCTACTACTATATACTAAATATACACTCGTTTGCTCTCTATGAAACTATAATTTAAAAGAATCAAAGCATATTTTTAAATGTACGACAAAATCCGAATTATCAGTCCCAAAGCCCTTCATTACAACTATTTTTTACAACAGAAACAGTATACTATATTAGTAAATGGTGGCCTAGTGGTTAAAAGGCCCGCCTCTGATGCTCGAAGGCGCGGGTTCGATCCTGGCCCGGGCAAGTACCAATGTGATTTTCCGAATCATATGTACTTTCTAAGAGTATTTAGACATCACTGATTAATGCATTCCCAAAAGAGGATTGATGTCAGGCAGGCGGCCGGTCGTAAAAACATTTAGCCGAAAACTATTCACACATCTAAGGCAGACCCTGGCTAAAAGCTGGGAAATTGCTAGGTAGAAGAAGAAACAGTTACTACATATATTGCATCATAAAAAATAATGCAGTATACATATTACATACATAAACTATTTTTCGATAGGTAAAATAAAACAATCAAACAATTAATATAATTTACGTATATGATTTATTTATTAATAAAATTTATTTATTAATAAAAAATACTTATAATCTAATTCTACATTTAATATGGCATTATTACATTTTATTTCATGTTGTTAAAAGTAACAGTCCAATTATTATACTAATTGATTCTTATATGATATTTGGTACAATACATATTAAATATTTTTCCCTTTTTTTATACATAACATATTTTGCGTTTATCTATATATACAAATTTGTCAAAACTTAATGTTTTAAGAAAAAAATACTTTAGCTTTGTTAAAAAATCATGCGATGGAATAATTAATTACAAAATAAAACAAATAACATATCTTTATGATATTCTTATAAATATTTTATAAACTTACACATTTTTTTTTTGTCTTTATATCTGTTTCATTTTAGTCATTGAAAAAGTTATAATTAAAACATCTTAGTTAATGTTACCAGTTATTTAGATTATTTCATATTAATCTGTACAGTAACACCCGTCTTTAGTATTTTCCTTAATCCAGTCTATGTATCTGGTAACTCTTGTGTAGACTCCAGGGTATCCCACTCTTGCACATCCATTACCCCAGGATACGACACCTGTAAAATAAACAAACTATTACAGAACCACAGTATATAAATAAAAGGTTATTCTTTAAATGGAACTTTATATATATAAGAAAATGTTCGTGTAAATAAAATTAAATATTTTCATAACCAACTTTTATCAGTCTGTAATAAATACTCCATTAAAAAAATATAGTTCAACTCTAAAATATTTAAAATGACATCATTCACGTTCGTATAAATATTTTGCCAGATAAAGTCTATAGAATATTTTATTTTATTATAATGTATAATAAAGTTATTTTGATTAAAAATTATAGCTACAGTACTGCTTACGATATTAACCGTAGTTTTTAACAGAGTGGTAATAAAGCAAAAGGTCATGATCCAGATTTTATAGTTGCATTATTTTTAAAACAGTTGTATTATATATTTGAATTTTAAGTCACAAATTTAGTACAACATGACTTAATTTTAAAAAACATACCCAAAGATCTACATATTCAAAGAATACAAACTTGCGCGGAGAACCTTCTATGTAATGGAAAACATTTGACATTTACAAAATAAAGCAACCCATTCATATATTAATAAAAAACCAGTAATACCTTAATTTCTGGCAAAGTATCATCACACAAATAATAATAAAAATAACGAGAACTTTTGAATATTTTGCCAAACACTAGGTAGTTACGTAGGCAACTCTAAAATCGGTTTTAAACTGCCTTTATTAATTGAACATTGATATAGAGTAACTGATTAATGCACGCTACTCGATGAAAGCCTCTAAAATCTTATATTCAGTAAAATTATATAAATCATAACTTTCGTTTTGATACTTCTGGTCAATAAAGGTGCATTATTGTTGTAAGTTAATCAACAATCTTGATATACATACTATTGTTTCTTTTTAAGAAAAACTTTATTGCTTATCTTGAATAAGCACGTGTGTGTAATTAGCTATCAAATATTCTAGAAGTGTAGCAAAATATTCATAACAAGTCATTCAGAACAGGTATTTATAAAATTATTCCGTTAAAATATCTTGATTTTCAACATTCTAACGGTATTCGATTTTGTATAATTCCTTTAAGTATACATCAATCAATTTGTAAGGAAGAGGCATTGTTTAAACATAGGGAAGGCTATAAATGTTTAAGCAAATATCAATATTCATTACCTATTAGCTCATAGCGTTTGTCGTGCTTTCTCTCTGTGATGAGAGGGCCACCACTGTCTCCCTGTAACAACGTGTGGTTATTCTAATGTTAGTGTATAAAATTAAAAACAATACCTCACAAATGTTTCTATTTACACGTAACAACAATGAGAATATTAATGAAATCTAACGAAATATATGTCATAAGTCTAAACATGTATGTATTATGATGTCCAAAAGCTTAAAATGAGACAGAATTCAATAAAGAATTGTAATATATACCTGACAGGAATCCTTCTGTCCTGTCTTGGGGTATCCCGCGCACAGCATGTTGTCAGTGATCATTGAAGACGTGTATTTAGTATTTCGACACTCTTCGTTACTCAATACTGGCACCTCAACCTCCTGTAATGTGCACGAAACCCTGCCTTCCTCCGTCAAAGTTCCCCATCCTGCAGCCACTGCTTTAACACCCACATAGAGTTCACCTGAAAATTATTTATTTAATATAGCATGCGCTACACATTGATTTCCCATAACATAAACAATTATTTGCAAAATAATCAATATATTTTTATTTGGAAATGTTCTTTTCTATTGTAAAATAGAAGGTATTTTTATTATTTAGCAGCTAAACCAATACATTTACTGCTTTTTTTAACCTATCTAACAGCAAAACTATGTCAAATTAAAATAATTATATTTTATATTTTTAGATATTAATTCGGGTCACTTTCTTTTTAAATTTATGATGCTAAGTAATGTGTTATCATGGTAAAGCTGTATAAAAAGTCAAGAATTGCTAAAAGCCATTAGTATATTATTAATACATTATGCAAATAAAAGGTCGCAAAATTCTCATATTTCACACCGTAAAACATTATTTGTTTTTTTTTTTTCTTTTAGTACTTAAAAACTTTAGCTGTTTGAATAGGTTAAAATTTGAGTTGATAAGTTGAGTATGCAAAATATAGATTGGTATATTTCAAGTATATATCATTTCTTTTACTACATTGTTTGTTATAAAATCATTTATTTTTATCAACACAAATCCCAATAGTTCCGAATTAATGGCGTTTGTAAATTTTCTTTGAACATAACATTGGTAATATTAAACAAACGTTTAAAGAGTTAAAGATTTCACAAAAGAAAAAAAGAACATATTCAAACAAGTTACTGAATTTAACAAAACTCCAATCCTTCTTATAACGTATAATATAGCAAAGATTTAATCTAACTTTTTATAAAGTTTTATGAATTCACAAAACTAAAAGTGATTGTAAAAACGTATTAGGTTTTATTGTATAACGAAACAGCGAAATTTCTATGACAGATTGCTGTGCTAAGCAGGAATCTAACGAGAAATTTTTTTTTATCTGTTTTTGTCGTCAAGTAATATATAATTTCTTTCATAAAATCTTTTCTAATCCTAAATAGACAGAAACTCACATATCTATCAAAATTACAAACTACTTACTGTCGTCACTTGGCAAGCATATAGGCTTAATAGCAGCAGTCATGGGAACTCTCTCATTCAGACGAAGTAAGGCGATATCATTGTCAAAGTTGGTGAGAGAGAATTTGTTGGCAATGACGCGTATAACAAATCTAGTCTCGGGACGAATGGTCGCGTTACAACGGTTGTGTTCACCGAATGTCACCTTTATCATGAACCACATAAATCTGAAATTAGAATATAACAATTATAAGCATATTAACAAATATTTAAAGTCATGACATCGTCATCGTAGGAAATTATATTATGCTAAATAAATATAAAATTGTATAAAAATTACGTTCTTCGATAAAGATATTCGAAGTATACATATGTATTTAAATGAAATTAGCTTCTGGAATTTTCGAAGTTTCGTTCATTTCTTGCGACTAGAGACTTGTCGAATTTAATTAATTACGCTTTAAAAAAAATTGTACGCGCGCTAAGACCCGTTACACAAAATACGAACAGTTACAGCTGATCTATGTTTTTTACCATCTCCTGATTGTGATGTCGTACATACAAATTAAATTAAATATGTCATCAATCTAACATCATTGTAAGTACAGTACAATATCACTAAGAAACCTTTATTAGTATTGTCAGTAGGGGAAAGTAACGAAGTAAATATTTTTGGTCTTGAATATTATTACCACTAATGTTCACTTTCACTGTCCATTGTTAACCAAAACAAATGTTTTAATATGAATAATATTTATAAAGAAAACAACAATAATAATATGATATTAGTTATCTTATGTAGATATAAGAATGTAAATAAAAGAGTCATCTCGAGATATTTAAAAAAAATTACCAAAAGGCACTAACGCTCTAAAGTGGACATTTGTCGAGGATATTGAACTCAAGTTTGAAGCCTGCGTCCGGCCAGTTTAAAGTTCAACGCACTGATACTGATTGGAATTCACAAATTCGGACCAAGATCTTATTTTGGTCATGTTTAGCAATTCCCAGGTTATCGGACCCGTATACCGATGAGTTACGATTTCATCTGCAATTTGAGACGCATTTAAATTTTTATCGATAAAAACTAATAATATGATATCACTCCTTGCCCTCTAATTCTCCTTAATTAGCATTTTAGGTATCTTAATTGCAAATGTCATCAAGCCACGAATTATTTTGTTTTGGACCGAAATTATGTTTAGCTCGATTAACCTACATTATAGATTGATTTTTCCTCTATCTGTTTCAAAGTTTCCTTAATGTTTAAATGAAGAGATTAGCCTTATTAGATTTAACGAAAACGGCAACGTTTTTGTCCTAAGAGTTTGTTTACCTATAAAATAAGAAACGTATGGTGGTGTAAAGTCAATATTCTCGTCAGTGCAAATATTTAAAAACAACACACTAAAATGTTTAAATTTTACTCAAACAATCATTTATTTGGTAACTTCCATAAAATTTCACAACGATTTAGAGCCAAAAACGTTTTAAAATCAATTTACCTCAAAATCAAAGATATTGATTAAAGGTATTTCCAAAGCAAATACGTGAGTCATGGTTAAGTCGTTAGTATCCAAATATTTTCTTGTTTTTATATATGAGCATTAGGTTTTTTATTAGTGAATAAGATATGTTTACAAAAAAAGACAATATACAAGAAAGACAAAAGAATTTTTACGTGTTTGTCTATTTTTTAAATATAAACAACGAGAATCGAAGCGAACTTTTAGAATCATTAAGACGAAAAGGTTTTGATAGATTATTTTGTTTTAAAAAAGGTCATTTTAAGACAACCTTTCCTTGTTCATTATGGTTTAAAGCTTTTATTTTGAATTGTCAGCTGACCAAATACATTCCATACATAATAAACATAACTTTTGTACCTTCTATGTCACATTGTACTTTGTGATATAAAAGCAAATGTAAACGTTTAAAATAAATATATTTAATAAATTTTTCTCTTCTACCTTGCTGTAAGGATAGATTTCGGACGCGCGAACATTTATATTGATATTTCAACTTAATATATATTTTTCTTAAAATTCGAAAATAAAATCCAGTAATTACCAGACAGCAGTTGTGACAATAGTTTCTTAAATGCCTTTAAAATTTTAATAAAACCTAAAAGAAATTTTTATAGGACCTTCTATGGTTATTTTAGTTTTGTAGCTATTTTACAATCTGTACTTATTAATCTATTATTCATCATCTATAGATAAATGTATAATATTTATGAAATATTATTACCCTTTGACGCAATGTGCTGCAGTGAGAACATATCTATCGTTGATCAGCATACCGCCGCAGTAGAACTTCTTGAAATACGTCATCTTGGCAACCCAAGGGAACTCATTGAAGCCAGCCTCCTCCCCTCCTACGATGCGGGAAACTTCATTTCTTTCGCCACATTCTGGAATAGTTTATTTATCCCTGTATCTAAGAAATCCTTCATCTACAAATATCTTAATGAGTAAAACTAACTATAACATTTATTGTAGAGTACTATTGAGAAAGTTTTATTAATAATCCGTTGAAAGTTGATAAACATTTTGAATAATATTGGAAACTATAACAATTGATCTGCTTACTACATGTGCACGTAGTCTTGGCTTGGCCCGCTTCAAGTAGAGGTGGTCGGTTGCCCCAAACCCCACCGAAGAAATTCTTTGAATACACACCACGCTGCGTACGCAATAAATCACCCTATTCGCAAATAAATAATATAAAGCTAACATAATTTCTTCATTACAAAAATTTTTAAAACTAAATTATTTAAAGATTTCTTAACGTCATGAAATATTTTACTAACTTAATAATCCTTTCAACAATTATTGTAGTCCTTTAATACTAATTATAAGCAAATCTTATTGTAAAAATTATAAAAGGTAATAAAAAACAATATTGTATAATAAATCATTAGAGTCCTCGATTAATATTTTTTTAAATCCACTAATTTGTGTCAGAGGAAGAAATTAGAAACATACCTCCGATAGAGTGAAAGTTAACAAAAACACAAATAAAAGAAAGCACTTCCACATCCTGAAGATCGTTATAACAAAAAATAAATAAGTAGTATTTAGAATATGCACAATCGCATCTCTCGCATTTAAACTTGTCGCGCGTTCACAAACTTGGACACACTGAGATGGTTTGAGGTAGCGGGCAGCCAACAGAGGCATCAGACGTGATTTGGTTATACCCCACTAGACTATCCATTTGGTACAAAAACAAAAAGGACGCATAAACACACACAAACAACGAAAACACACAAAATTAATACAATTCTTAGAACTCATTATTGTCTTTATCAAATACATTTATAATTTTTCACGTGATTTTTTTTCTAAATATACATATTTTCGTATAATGATATGCTAATTACCAGAACGCAACACCATTAATAAAGCGAAAGTGTTACTTTCCAACTGGAAGGCGGTCACTTCTCTGACATCACTTAGAATTGCAAATAAAGTCTTATCAACTAAATGTATGTATTGTTAAAACAAGAATACAACTTAATATTGTCCCTTGGACCACAATCTCATTTTGGGACTTCTACTACAATCAAATCATATAAAAAATTCTGCACTCGAACAGCAATGAAGTTTACAGAACTCTGCTAATGAAATAACTCGCTATAAAGTAAAACAAATTATAATTTTATACCTTATTTTAACTCATATATGTATATTGTTAAAAATAATAAAAATCGAATAGCAAATGCGAAAAACAATCGTTTTATTTCAATGAAAGTCTTACAAATAATTATTTAATTCTCTTCATATCAAATACCATTCAAATATAAAAAAATAGTTTGTCACAGTAATATGTGATTCTGTTTTTCGCTTCAATTGGATAAAACATAAAAAAATTAATAACACAAAAGCAAGAACAGCTAAAATCTACGCCTATATGAAAATTAGAATGCCTTAAATAAATAACTCTTTGGTAACATTTTAGTATAAATTCATTTTGGCAATAATATTGTGAATGATTGTGAGACTTTGATTCAAACATGGTTCTTTCAAAATTTACTAGAAAGGACTAGATTTCCTAGAAATTTACAAAGTTAATCTCCTCATAAAATCTTTTAACGTAGAATGTAATAATTGCTTATAAGCTTTATAATATATAGAGTTATATAATAAGAAAAATGCATTTTATTTACTTCAATATATTATTTTTTTACACTATGAGAAACATGATAATAAGTAAATGTAATGTAAGCTTCAAGCGTTCTTTCAAAGTTCATTACAAGTTTTCCTAGAAGAAGTTATTATTACAACAATAATAATCAATATAAATTTTGTCAACGTTAATAATAGTTAATCCTACTGCTGTATACCAAAATTGCTGTTTCCATAAAATATAGGTACTAGTCAGTGGCGGCTGTACCTTAAGTGCACTCGTGCGCTGAACCACCAATTCAAAAGATTTAAAAATTACAAAATATTACTTCATCTTTATTTTTAAATGTCACATTTTAATATTTATTTTCTAAACATACAAAAACGTATAAAAAATTAAATTTCTAATTATAGTCAAAAAGTTTGTGCGCTTTACTAAACTAATATCTCGTGCGTTTCGACGAGTGCACGAGGACTCCTAATACATCTTGTATGAGATACGCATTTATACGCCTGACGCGTGAAACAAAAGATCGTTCATAGAAATGTACCGAGTAATGAGTCGGTTCTCGAGCGCCGCACGAGCGGCCGAAGATTACCGAGAGCACCCGATGTATGACGAATTGGAATTGAAAAAAATCAAAACTCTTCTCCGAAATACCTCGCGCTTGCTAAATGCACTTTCTGTGCATTAAAAAAATATATACAAACAATAACCGATTTTAATAAATAGGTGATTGAACATTTCACTTCGGAAAAATGTCGTTGCATTAATTAATTATTAATGTATAAAAATAAACATATTTTATGTCAATTGGTTTTTTGTTGCATTTTCTAATTGTAATATTTTAGTAAAGTGCACCACCAGTTCGATTACCCACCGGCGGCCACTGGTACTAGTTATATTTTATACCTTTAATTTGAAAAACTTTTAAATCTATTAAAAATAAAATTATTATTCGGTATTACATGCTTTAAATAGAATTTATATCTTTTTATATGAAGTTCTATATAACGTTCTAATGAAATAAGTTGCAGAAAACATTAAGAATTAGACTTTACAATATCGGTGACACAAGAAATGGAGACTAATTAACATTCGTCAATAAGAAGGGATGTGTTTTAATGCTAGGTTCTAAATGAAAAATCGAAAAAATTATAACTATTAAATGATCCTCACATTTATTAATTAGCACAAGTATTACTAAGTTTAATAAAAAGTAGCAATTTTCGATATTTACATATAATGTCCTCATTTTTTTCTTTCTAATAAAAAGAGTTTTTTAAACGAATATTACAAATGATCAGGCGTTCGAATTCAAGATATACAAGTCATAAATTATTGTGAGACAAGAACAAAAGGTCCTAAATTAAATTATAATTTAAAAATTAGAAAGTCAACTGCGTAATAACAACAAAAACAAGCAATTAAGATTAAATAAAAATAGCAATTATAAACATAATATGTATAAGTATATTCATTAACAGGGACTCGTATTTTTTATTTAATATTTTATCCTTAATTTTTTTAATTTATAACTGTCGTGACTACGATACCATCAAAAAAACTAATTATTTAAAAATTAACTTGTTAATATCAAAAAATCTTGAATTTATATTCCACCATTTTTCGCATTTCATTCAATAAACTACATTGTAGGTATGCCTATATTTTTATACTTGACTACAGAGAGCATCTTCTGGTAGTTAAATATAAAATATCTCGCCCATATTAATATAATAAATTAATTAATTCTAAGACTAAATAATAAAAGTTATTGCACGTATGGGTATAGGCTTATGAGTAAAAATAGAGTTTTAACGCGACTGACAAACAATAGAGATTCTTATTTTTATTTAAATGAAACGAAAAACTTCCATAAATATTTTTTTATTCAACAATACATTCAAAACAATATCTACATACAAAACCGTATAAAAAATAACATCTTTTTATTAAACTATGGCTTCATTCGCACTGGAATCGTGGAATATTTAGCCAATGTCGACATTTTATGAACTAACAATATTAAAATTTTAAATAAATTATAATAAAAATTAAGACATTATCGTGACAAAGATCACAGTGACAGCGTGAAGAGCGATCTATTTTACACTTAGAAATAAAAATATAACACCTACTTAGTAAATTTTATATTAAAATATAAAAAAAAAAAACAAAATAAAATACTATTACTTATTTTCAATACAGTATCTAAAATATATTTTCATTATATTTTACAACTACGAAAATATATGGTTATTATGCAACATAAATATTGAGAGACTTATTAAATTAATTATTATTTACATATAATTGAACACGTAGGTAGTTCCATATTCGCTTAACATCTATTGGTAATCTGCACCACCGGCCTGACATGTACTAGTATATTTACATTAATTATATTTATCTTATAATATATTTAAATGTTTATTGCTTATAAATATTTTAATATATCATATGTATTAAATAAAACATTAATAAGCAAAAAAATAAAAAAGAATTTGTTGTCTAATATAACAAAATAATGAAAGAGACGAAATCTAAAAGTAGACTTACGAAGATTGTTAGTACATTTTATAATAAATAAATCAAACAAGCTATAGAACTACGCAGATAACTATGTAGTATAGATTAAAATGTAATAAGAAATTTAGTTGAAAAATTATAATAATTAATATCTTAATTTAATAAAAAAAGTTCCTTAACCATCATTATATACATAGAACAATAAAAGATAAATATGTTTTTTTTTTGTAATATAAAAATTAGTTCGCTAAATATTCCGACATACACACACGATTATAGAAAAAATATGATTAAAACTATACGAGATAAATTCAAAAAACTAGCTTCTTTAAACAATCAACATTAAATTCCAAAAATAAAATAAAATAAAACCGAAGAAAGAAAACTGTTTTTTGTTTCTAAAAGAGTGCTTACAGATTATGTACAATTGTGAGCAATGGTAGAAAACCTCTTTGAATTATAATTTTGAAAAGAAAAGTTTTATTTAGAACACAGACAAGTGTCTTTCAAGTTAGCCCGCAACCACGGTAAGTAACGTGTTATGCGAGTGTACACGCCGGGATAACCTGGCCTTCCACAACCTACTCCCCACGAGACTATACCTGGAAAACATATAAAATCATCTCATAAATCACAGTTATACGTATATACACAAGTTACTTGTTAGAGATACAAAATAAGAAAGCCTTCGAAGTATATCGATTTTTTTTAGGTATAGTAAAAAGTTTCGTCATCTTATTAAAATCTTTGAAATTAGAAAGACGACGAAAATTTATATTAGAAAAAGATAGCATAAGACGTACTAAAGGAGAAAAGGAGGAATGGAGATAAATAGAGACAGAGAGAGTTACATTTCTTATATATAACTGCAGAAGCAAGGGATCAGTAAATTTACTGGATTTCTTCTTTTCTTTCTAATTTTAATAAAGAAAATATTATTAATTAAAATCCAAAATACATTTAGATATCTGTAGAAGGTATGTATATTTATTTATAAACACATTTACATACACTTATATCCATGTAGACATATTGATTAAGTTTAAGAAGTTTTAATTCATACGTGTGACTTTTTTAGCTTCTAGATCACACTCATTTTTCATATTGCTGCTTATTTATTCTAAGTTATAACACTACGAAGGTAACAAAGACGATAGTCGTCGTTTTGTGGGATATACAACGCGTGCTTTATTTTTATAAAAACTACATACTCCCGACCTTTCGGCTACTTTTCAGCAACCATGATCACAGACAGACGAGGTGTGAATATCTGTCAGATGGTCAAGTCGAACCATACAAGAAAGTGAGCCAATTCTTGAGACCGATCAAGAGTACCATTCCTTTACAACAAGCGGGTGTATACAAACGCAATTGTAACTGTGGCTTGTCATACACTGGACAGACAAAGAGAAGCTTCGGTACAAGGTTTAAAGAACACATCTCAAACGTAAAAAATAGGTGCGCGTCGAAGTCAGAAGTGTGTGAATACACTATGGACAAACCAGGTCACTACATTCGGTTTGATAAACCACATATCCTCGCTCGTGAAGACAGGTATATACCAAGGTTAATCCGCGAGGCAATTGGAACTAAAACACATCCCAATTTCAATAGAGACGATGCCTGGAATCTATTTCAAACACCCCAGGTGTTAAAAATCCCCTTCTAAAAAATATAAAACCCCATATCCATGACCACACCGCAGGACGTCGGAACACCGTAAGCGTACTCTTCCGGCATCCAGAGCAGTGCGCCAGAAAATTAAGAAATCGAAGGCGGTAGGTAATAAGTAACAAGACCAACTGACAGACGTTCACATCTCGTCTGCCCGAGCTCACGGTTGCTGAAAAGAAGCCGAAGGTATGAAGTTTTTTTACAAAAACAAAGCACGCGATGTATAGCCGAAGAATATTAGTTTCATTTAAATGATTTTATTACATTTTAATTAGTACGACACAGATGGTGCCACTTATAAATGCTCAATTACTCGTATCTTTACATATCTCGTTTGACATGTAATACTCACCGACTATTTGGAATCTGTCACCCTGTTGTATGAGCAAGGGGCCTCCGCTGTCACCTTGACAGGAGTCAGTTGACGATCGACCCGCGCAAAGCTGTAAGAAAATTAGTGACTTTATAATTCTCCTATGTTTAGGAGTAACACAACTTTTTCCTAGATACACTTGTATATAAATAAAATACTAATATTCGTTAACTATTATGACTAAAAACAAAGTTACGTTAGGCATACCATGTTATTGGTGATTCTCGAAGCCCTATACTTCATTCCGCGGCACTGCGACAGTGATAGAATGGGCACCCTGACTTCCTGAACGACAGCAGGCAGCTGACCTCCTTCCGATGTACGGCCCCAGCCTACCACGATACCCTCCTTGCCAGATGGTTCAGTACCTGTGAAGAACCAAATCAAAAAATTTAAATAGTATTACGAAGAAAAATCCTGAAAGAAACTTACTACGTAGTTCTAATATTAAAGACAACTTTTAGCTGGCTGAGCGTTATTTTTGTTCTGAAACTTAAATTTCAAGAAACCGTCAATGAAAATGTTTTTAAACATTTTTGAAAGGGCAACACATTATTTTGATAAGAAAAATAAAACATGTTATATTTTAACTGTCATAAAAAAAAATCCAATACAATAAATCTACAAGGTTTGCTTCAAGTTTCATAAAAATCCAAAATGTACACACATGTACCCAAATATAATTTACAATATACGGCCTGAACGTGCATTGAAAAAATGTATTACGTCAAAGATATTAAACTGTTTCAAATAACGTATACTTATAAAAGATTCGTCATGAATATTTCATGCCTTTTTTACGTCCAAATATAATATCTGTATTGTTTACGTGTATCACGTCATACATCAATAACTGCTTTCATATGTATGATTTTGTTTAATAAACTTGAGAACAAAATTATTATGTAAGCGAAGTCAATATATATGGAACAGTTAATATTCCTTTATTAGAGATTTCCAATACATCTCATATTATGTAAACGACCATACCATAAAGATATTTCTCAATACGTTCTTGAGTCGAATTTCATTATTAATTTTGCAACGAATAAAGAAAGTTTTTATTATATTCCTTTATTTAAATACACGGATACAATGTTGAAATCTTTCAGCATATTTAATTGTATTTGTATATATAAATACGCAGGAATATCTATTCCTTGTAAATCTTTCTACGTTACTGATTAATCTTTCTGTTTGGATGTACGTACTTGCTGGTGGTAGGCAAACTGGTTTGATGATCTTTGAGAAGGTCACTGGTTTCCTCAGTTTCAACAATGCGATGTCGTTGTTGTATGAGTCGGAATCGAAACTTCGATGTCTTATTATCGCGGTGACAGCACGCATTATGGCCGGACTTTCAGACGTAATCGTTTGATCATGGTCGCCAAGAATTACACGGATTTTGGAGCGTTTTAGCCTGGAAGATTAATAAGTTATATCAACATCTAAGTCATTGAAACTCCACATTATTTTCATACTTTCAGTCTTCTGACAAATACATCGAGTATAAATAACAGAAAAATTAAATTCTTTACGCTATATTAAGTTGAATGGATGGAGATAGTGGTATTGTTTTGATACTCACTTACGCACACAATGAGCTGCTGTCAATACATACTCCTTGGTTAGCAAAGACGCTCCACAGTGGAACTGACCATCATAAACAAGCCTCGCCATCCAGGGATACCGGTTCACACCGGCTGGCATACCACCAACTATGCGGTTCTCTTGGTTCGGCCCACCACACTCTGTAGAGAAAGTGAAGTGTAATGAACTGAATGCAGGAAGATAAGCCTGTGTTACGACTTCTACTGAATAGCCAACAGCTACTGGGAGAAATGTTAGAGCTGAAATAGTTGATTAATATATTCAGGTACAAGTCGTCGGTATATAAGCGATAGAAAAGTTTTCTAAATCAATATAACCCAACCTTCCTTTACAGTAGCAGCCTTCCTTTAAAGCAATTATCTTATTATATATTAAAATAATCTTCTAAGTAATGGTTTTTACAGCATTCAACTATAATTAATTAATTATTTATAGTAAGCGTGGAGATATTAAACTACGTACATTAAACGCTGAGTCGGATTAAGACATAACATTATATTAAATATCCGATGAAAGTAAATTTTATTAGAGAAGTCGTAAAGTTAGTTTAATAGACTTATTAAGGAAGAAAATACTTATAGTGGAAATATACTATAAAATAGTGCATGAGGAAATGTGAAATGGAGTGAAACAGAAAAAAGAGTGCCATAATTATTATGTATTTAGTACTACTGTGTTACTTACCTATCTTTCTAGGAAGTGGATTTGCTCGGCCACATACTAAAATGTGAATAAAACAATAAAACTTTTGCAATAGAAAAAAATAAGTAGAACTTTAGGTGCAATTCTAACTAATAGGAGATGAAAAATAGGGAGTATCTTTATTTTCTTGTTAAGTTTTCGTAAATTATTTTTAAATCATACTTTCTGTTTCCGTTTTTAATACAGGCATGTTTTACATACAATAGTCCGACTGAAAAAACCTTTATTCCTCATTGGTTGTTACTATACTTAAAATATACCTTCTATTTAATGGATCTTTATATTTAACTTAAGTTGCTAAGACAATATAACTGTTTCTTCATCATCTTAATATTTAAGTTACCCTCAATATGTTGTCATCATCAAAATATCTATAGGACGTTTCTTTTTAATCATCTTGCAACACTGTCTCTATATATTTTCACTACATTTTGTTTCATTGTCGTATCATGAAACCAATTTAAACAATTTTAATAAATAGTTTTAATTTATTATCACGAATATATAGTGATTTTATATTCGTGAAGTCTTTTTCTTAAAATCAATGAACTTTGATGATATAACAAAGTCCCATAAATCATATACACTTATTTTAATTAATCGCTTTTATATTCGATCAAGTTTTGCTTAAATTTGATAAACTTCAAATACTTACCACAGGAACAATTCCTGACTTGGGGTTCCTCTTCTTCATCTTCTTCCACGCTTGGATCATCCAAAATCGGCACTTCAAGACCGAAGATGGCGTCGAACAAAAATCGTTGTGACCTATTGCCCGTGGATACCTTGAATTGTTACCAAAAGATTTCGTGAAAAAAAAATCTCATTATAAAAGTAATTTCCAAAAGACAGTATAAAAGTTGTGACTGAACAGAAACAATCATATAAATATGTGTATTTATTTTCATATTAAAATATTTCTTACATAATAATGTTATGTGCTACAAAAGGTTTACTTTCATAGTTCCGTAGACGAGCCGAAAATTATATGTGGTTACGCAATCACTTAATTGCCGCTAATGTCAATGTTGCTTTCACAATACGAATCACGTTCCGACTTACTGTGCTCTTTTTGTTTTTCCCTTTTTTTTATTTGCTTTCGTATGTCATAAATGAGGTAGTATAAACAAAGAGAAACTTTTATGTAAGCCACAAATACTTTTATCTTTAATCAATGAGATAATAAATACGTGCACTTAATCTGTTCCTACTTTTTTGTTATATTTTATTAAAAAGTTATATTAAAAGTATTGATTAATTATATTATTAAAGTTTAATGGATATTCCTTTCACTGTTTATCAATAATTCAGATGATTAAGCATGTTTCTATTTTAATTACACAGCAATTTTTGCACCTATTAATGGTAGATTGTTTTTAAACATAAAAATATATACAAAATATATTTGTTTATATAACATACATACTAAATATATCCTATTGCAAAACAAGCAAACAAAATTGAATTCTTTCGAGCGTGTTTAAAAAATAATTCATGCACTTTCCCTCCTTCAACGTAACTGTGTGACGTAAGAATGGGACTTTGTCTTTTGCATTGCTTAACATTTTACATAATATAACGCTAACAAGGCTAAGGTTGTTACATCTATATAATAAACATAATCGAGATTTGTAAACAAACAAATTATTTTTGTATAGAAATAGTAAGTTATCTCGAATATCTAAATAAAACCGTGTCAACTTTCTATTAAATTCTGCTCAACAGTAAAGATAAAAATAATAATTTATTAATGAACTAAACGATTATATATTTTCAAAACATATAATGAGAGATAGATAGAAATATTCTGAATGCAGTTATCACAATAATTACAAATGCACTAAAAGAATGCAGGTATTACAATACCTACATACTTATGCAATAAAAAGTATTTTTAATAAGAGTCATAAATTATATCTTAAAATCATCGTTAGGTATAACCTTTTGTATTTAAACTAAAACCTGTATTTAATAACGAAGACCCCAATAAAATCATTTTATTTCTAGAATTTGTGGCCTCACATAATATACCTATATAGACAATAACACATAAAGAACTCTATTTTTGGTAATGAAATAATAACGCTATAATTATGTAAGATTTCACCCAAAAGACTGTCAATTAGTAGAGTCGAAATTTAACAACGAGGTCGATTTCGTAAGGAATATTTTATAAAAAAAACATTTTTAATTTGAAATCTTAATGTAAGCTTTATTGTTATCAATTATTCCATGACCTGAAAGTGGAAACGCCGGTGTTGTAATGGACCTTGATCTAATCAACGGTTCGTTATAGTCGTCTGAAGTTCAATATCATGATACAATTCAATACTAAAGAAATTTCACAGTATTAAAACAGAACAATAAAGCTATAGATTTTTTTTTTGTACTTTTAAATACCGCTAATTAAATCCACTTCAATATTTCGTGATTATGAAATGGGAGTAAAGAAAATTAATATAACTACTTATAAATTGAACTATTTGTTACTTCCGAATTATATGTGCATTGAAAAACTTCACCAATAATCTTTTCAACAAATCATTGGAACGAATAACGTGTATGGAATTTTAATATTAATGTTAAAGGAAACTCAACTGGAATGAGGCATTTTTTAATCTACGTCTGTTTCTGGCGTTATCAAAAAAATTACGGAAATCAGTTTAAAAGTTTTTGCTGGACTGGAAAAGTAGGTACATATTATTGCTCTTTAATGTTCAATTTTAAATATTTGCAATATTTTAGACGAATCATAAATTATCACGGAATGACAGCTTTGGGGACATTATTACTTCTTGTTCTTTTTTTGTGATGGCGCCATTAAATTCGTAAGGTCAATCAACAAACTACTTTCCAATGTAATTGTAAGGCTTTCACGAGGAAATTGTTATTGTACTCTCGTTTTTGTTATCCGAAGTCGTTTATCAAACTCAAGAAAGTATGAACTCGTAAGATCTAGGACAGCTTTATTCTCACCATCTTTTTGATTACCGACTGATTGATGTTTATCATTCCTTACTGACTCTTACTTTTGTTTTAATTTAATTCATTAAAATATTTTATTACTTAAATAAAACAAGGACATTTACCTTCGCCAGTGATTTACACAAAGGTATATTATAGTTTTTTATAACACAAACGAGTTACTTTTATATCAATTAAGTTAAAAAAAATAGTTTAAAACCATAATCTAAACGCAATAAAATATTTAAAAAATATATAGAACAATTATATACGTGAAAAGAACGACCAAATTCTAATTTCAAGTAAACAAAGTAAAATAAGATATATATAGGAATTATAGAACTAGAATTTAATAAACCTAACAGAATAACTGTAACCGCCCACATTGGTGACAAAACAAGCTATAAATGCTCTAAGAACAGAAAGAGGACGACTGCTGTCTGTTTGTCCTATAACAAAACACAGCCCAAGTAACTAATGAACTCAAAGATAATGTAAATCTAAAATATAGTGGCAATTTAATTGATAATACCGGGTATTGCAAATAACTGAGATATATGGTTTATTTGTTTAGAATTTAATCGAAAATTTAATGGTATCCATTGATGCAATTTATATCTTATTTGTTTGTTATGGCATATTGAAAACCAAATGCATATTATTAGGTGTTTGATTACCTTATTTGATAAAATGTTAGAATTACGTAAATTCAGCAGCAAATGCCAGCAATTTTATGTCACGAAGCTCTTGAAATTGGACATAGAAATATAAGTAAATATAACAGTGATTTGATAAGGAAAAAAAATAAAAAATTACGCAATACTTTAACATAATATGTTCATATGAGTCGATTCATAATAGCGTGTAATAATATAGATTAGTCTTATGTAATGCGAAGTTACTGGCGAAAGTAGTGCATATCCGTTTTACATATCTATCTATTGCTCGTATTTAAGTAATTATATGGACCAGTTATATTTATATTTAAGGAAGCAGTCATTCAGTTCAGGAAGTTTAGTTATGTGAAAGTTGTTGTAGTATGGAAACAGCTATGATTTTAAATTCTAGTATTTTCGTATCCTTCAAATGCTATAAATTGTTGGCTTTTTATACTTTATTATAGATATTTCTTTGTCTTACATTTGTCAATATTTGATCAAAGTGTATGAAAAAGCAGAAGCCTCTATTAATTTTGTAATTTATTAAATCGTTCGCTTGCCTTGATAAAAATATAATTGTGTTCTTTCATTTCGCTATTTAGCTTGTTTAGTTTTAGTCAAAATAAATACCTAATTAATCACTACAAAAATTTCGTCCTAGTAATATAATAATTGTTTAAATTTGACTGAAAAATTACTAACCGGGTCTAAATAAATCTGTCTTTACAGTACAGTAGCTGATACTAATTCCTACATAATAATTCCGATCTCACTAAATTATTTCTTACGAAGTTACGAGTACCTATGTTCTTTGGCAACATGTCATATCATTTGTGTCTTGTGTAAAGAAACGTAACACAGAAAATAGATATCGCTCCTGATTGCTTATTATGCCTTTTCTATACATATATTTTTTTAACATCCAAATAAAAGGAGTTGTTGACAAAAAATGATTTTTAAATATAAAAGTAGGTACTTTATTCCTTTAATAATCAAGTAATTTGCTACAGTTACCCTTTCTCGCAAAACTATTCACTTAACTTATTTAGAGAACGCTTATTAAGATAACGGACTATCAAATTATTAAATAAATCGAAAGACAATTTGTAACTGGTTAATTTGTAACAAAAATATATATATCTACATATAATTTAGTCTCTTATAAAAGATTTCCTAATATTTCATTTAAGTTTTGGCTCAAAAGGAATGTATAAAACTGTGGTCATTGATTTAGGTGAGTTTTAACAGATTTTATAGCGTTTAGTCGTTATATTTAATAAGATACTTTATAGAAAATACACTACAACCATAACTCATAGAAAAAATATATATATAATAAAAAATTTAAAACAAAATCAGCAGTTGCGTCTTATTTTCTACTTTCATAATATTATAATGTACATATTAATCGATATTCTAAAACTATTTTTGTTGCATCTTAAACAAATATTAAATACCTTATTTTCTAGTTTTCTACTAGAAAAAAGCGTACTAAATAATAGGTTGATCGAAAATAGAAAAAAAAAGAATAATCATAAAATCTTGATATAATCTATATATTAATTTAGCGACTTGTCTATCAAATGTATAAAAAAGTGAATCGATTATGTGAGAATAATTAACGGCGCTATCAAGAGAGTGCAATCCGCAGAAAGTAAGAGTGCATTTGAAGTCATTGCACTATCGGACGTTTGATAAATAAAACATACTTACATGGTTATCTTTTATGGCGTCCTGTGGGCTAATTTGTTTTTGCTCCGAAATATTTATTGTAAGAAGCACACAAAATATAGCCACTGTTCTCCATGGGCACATTGTTGTTGATCAGATGTCGCGTCAAATTTCGGGCTTATTTATTGGCGCGGCATATCACGCGTTCACTGTTCAGTTCGGCGTCGACAATTCATTGGCATTATTTGTATTTTGCAAATAAAACACTGGCCGACTGGCGCTGGCCGGAGCCGCGCGGTTCCTCTGATCGAGGTGTTCGCCACTTCGCGTACTTTCTCCTCAGGCCAAAAACTTGAACCCCACCGCTTACCACCACTCGCACAGCTGTTTGTGCGATAAGTGAGATGATACGTAACTCTTTTGCATATTTTAAGTAAGCCCCAAAAGGATTTTCTCCGTAATAGCATAAATTAATAGTGTTAAAAGCGAACACTTTAAACAATTATTTTTTAATTTATTTCATATTTTTGATAATAACTAAAAAAACTTTCTATGAAAGAATTGTAGGTAGGTACTTAATTTTAAATCGAGTTTATAAATTGACAATTTCGCTTTAATATTTTCAATAGAGGTAAATTAAAAGTAAAGCATCTACGGTAGTCATGTTTCAAAATATAATTCTTGGATTTTCCCACAGATAAATGAAAGTGAAATCATACTGCTGCCCCGCGCTTCCGCTACACGTCCAATAAAACGAATCTTACGAGAAATGACAGAAATTCCCTTCCCTTGACTACTAAACGGACTTTATTCTTCTAAAAGTTGACAGAAGTAGGTATATCATGTTTAGCTCACTTTTAATATAAAATTCTTACATATTAAATATTTTTTCGCAGAGTTTAGGAATCCCGAGGTCTAGTGTACCTTCCTAATTTTTTAAAAAGCATTGATTTTTTCCTCTAACATGTACATGTCTGACATGTTTAAAAAAATGGATACTTTGAACTATTGCTATATTTATATCCCCTTACCTAGCTGAAATACTGTAAAAGAAAGAACATTATGTTTTTGGTTTTAGCGTTTTCGAACCAAGGATTTGACCCGAAAAATACCCAGCTGAAGTTTATCTCAGTCAAAATGATATATTGAAAATTAAACGCGAATTAAAAAAATTGAAAATTCAAAAATATCTGAAAAAGCACACCCATAATGAATTGCATCAAATAGCAACAAATATTCAATACTACCAACGTCATTTTTATGAAGAAAAATCGAATACAATCGGATATTTGTTTTTTTTTTTAGAGAAAGTGAATTGCGAACGATAAACGGTACCTAATTAGTGTTACAACCCTGACCGGAACAAAACGAAAATTTTGACAAGGCTTTGATGAAGCTTTGGTGAACTAGTGATTATAAATGACTAGCTTTTGCCGCGGCTTCGTCCGCGTGGAATAGTTACTTCCGACAGATTTTTGGTTCTTCCCACATACATAGTTCCCGTTCTTGCGGGGTTTTCGGAATGGTCGAGTTCCCGTAGAATTTTCAGGAAACCTATGTTTTTTTTATTAATAATGAAGTACTCTTAACCAACAACATATTTATTTGTTTATATGAATAAAGATTAATATTATTATTTTGATACAACTTAAACAAATTATTTCGACAAAATTATGGTACCATAAAAACGGTTTTTGTGAGTTAATCTTAAAAGATAGACATATACTGTCGCGGACTGTTTTTTAGATCATTAAAAGGGCTATTATTCTTTAACACATATTTTTTGTGTATCTTGAACCGTTTTCACGGCGCACGCAACGGAAGGCTTCAAAGATGAAATAATTTCTCCCGTTTCTTACACATTTACCACTATATCTTTGCTTTTATTGGTCGTAGCGTGATGTGATATAACCTACAGCCTTCCTCGATAACTGGACTATCCAACACAAAAAGAATTATTCAATTCGAACCAGTAGTTTCGGAGATTAGCGCTTTGAAACAAACAAACAAACAAACTCTTCAGCTTTATAATATTAGTATAGATTCCATGATAAAATAAGATCAAACACACAACACATCCTTAATATCAATATCATCAATTTCATCAGTTACAAAAAAAAATACTTTTATATGTCCAATATAAAATTGTCTGATATAATATAACTAAACTTGCTTTTTTCTTTGACTGAACTGAAAAAACTATAAAGCTAACTAGACATTTATGAAAGCAAAATGAGGGAATGTTGCCCTGAGAAATGTTGAAAGTAAAACTTATCAATCACAAATAACATAAATGTTTATCGTGTATTTAAAATGCAACGAGGGGCCGTTTTTAATTATTCTTCAAACGCGTGATCGTAAGTTTTTTCTTTGATGCCATATATCTACTCAATTATTTTAAGGTTTAATGAAAGTTTAGGCAATATTAAAGAGAAATTTCCTCAATACAGAACTAATTTAAACTTCGAAATTGGATTCAGAAAGAAATTAACAGTATATAGGTACTTAACAAAATTCGACATTTAGCTCCATCTATTGTCTTTTACACGAGACTATTTGCAAATTATCTTCCATGACTAACATAGAGAACCATGCAGATTTTTTGTATAAACTTTATTGTTTACTTTATAGGATTATTCCTAAGCTATTTAGATACTAAGCTTTATTTTACATGATATTTCATGAAAACCCATTCAAGAGTTTTTTTTAAAGAGCAACATACATCTGAACACACATGCATTCTCACACAACTTTCAAACTCTTTTTAAAAATATTGACATCAATTAAAATCTCTTATTAATACAAGACATTAAATGAAAAGCTCGCCTACATATCTAATCCTAAATAGTTTATATTCTCGGGAGTCAATATTACAATTAAACTTGAATTAAGAATAAGTCTTGAATTGTCACCTTGACTAAATATATACCTACCTACCTACCGAAGAGTATATATGTAAAAATTTTACAATAATATACAATTTCTACAAGTTTCAAACTGTTTTAACAGATGAATCCTACTGATAAGATGAATTAAGACTCAAAATCAATTCAAGTAGCTAGATAGGTAAATTAAATTTTTCATTTCTTTTGCCCACTGCTCATTTATCCTATTTTAGAATTCTGTTCGAAATTTTCTATTGCAGCTTGCTGTAAGCTACACTTTTTTAGTCAAAGGAAATATATTTTTTTGCATTTGTAGTTAACTTTTTCAGGTATCTTCCATCAATATGAAGTTATTAAGCTTCGTACCTCTTTATATTTAGATCTCAATAGAAGTCCCTATTGGACTTTTCTTGTTTTCATATAATATGTACCTAAGCATTTTACTAAAAGATATTTTTAGATATCAGTTATATGAAGTTCAGATTTCGATTTAACATTAAAAAAGCAGTTAAAAAAATGAAAATAACATCTGCGAATGCAAACTCCTTTTTGTCTTTTCTTCCTATTTAGGTATCATTTTGTTTGAGTTTGTAGTAATATTGATTTAGTATAATGTTCGGATTGAACTCAATTAAAATTTCAGTATTTTTTTGGTTTTATAAAAATAATTAGTTATTTTGTTAGACTTCCAACCAGGCCTAAACTACTGTTTTACATATATATAATTCGTAAATTTACAGTATTTCACATATACTTTTGTATAAAAACCACAAAAAATACTTCACCATTAAAACTCATTTATTTTCAAAATTTTTACTTGCCTTGATTTCAGATTTTTGATTTTTATTTCCTATTTATATAGCAAAAGATTTTTAATAAATAGGTAGGGTAAAAGTAATGCAACCCCTCTAAAATAGATTAATACAGAAGAGATTGAACGGATAACGGTTCCTTGTGTAAACTTTTAAATACATTTGTTTTCACTATTGCCCATCGAACTTCCTATGGCTTCTACCCTGAGTTCATGTACTTTCTTAGAACAACTACCTCCTACTACTGCTGATTTTGCAAATCAGGACTTCAGTAAGTATGTACCTACTTATTATTCCATTTTAATTTTCCATCCTCTCCTACAAATCTCAGCCACATTATATGCTGGATCATTTTAAATTTTAATCACCTAACAGTACCGCTATTTTCTTATTTTAAGTTTCTTTCGTTCTCCTCATTCATATTATTTTTTTAGAATGATAACGGGTCGTCAAAATGTGTTGAATGGCACTTTTAGAAAAATCATTTCTCAAGTATCTCATAAGTTTATTCCTAATATTTGTGCAAGACCGATCACTCCACACGATCTTCGCAATTAAATTAAGAATCTAAACAGTCCAAAAGACAATTGGAAAACCATGACCAATTTAAAAAGAATATATGTACCTCGCTGTCGTGGTTACTCTTGCTACTAAGAAGTTCTAGATCGTATAATGAATTACCATATTCCTTATGATGGCATGTAATAAGATTTCTTAGGAAACTAAGACGCTAAAAATTAAGTTATGCAGGGTATGTTTATGAAGATTTGGGTGCAGAAATAAATCAAGTAAATAATAATGAATATTCTTTATTTTTTTTATAAATTTAAATATAGAATATGTAAGGAAATAAGAAAAAACACAGGACTTACCTTTAAATAACGAAAAGTATGATGTAAAATCCCGGACTGGACTTGTCATGAAAATAAAAGGCATGATGTATTAAATATGGCAAAGCAGATTAAATTTGTTAGTTTAGAAAATGTTATTTTTAGGTCAGTGTAACCTTAAAAAGGGGCAAATAGTATGTGCTCCAGAGATATGAAATGAATAATATTAAATGACACCAAAACCTTTTGATCATGTGTTTGTCTGCGGAAAATGACGTCAAATATTTTAGATCCTGAAATAGCGACGTATTCTTCTATAGTAATCAATGAATTGAAAACTATTTTAAGAAATCCCCTTTTTTCGATAAGGCATGTCAACAAATGGAATAGTCCCCTATCGATTTCTAGAAAAATCCGTAACTGGACCTTAAAGAATCCGATATATTTTTTCTCATAGATATTATACATTTAACGAAATGTTAAAAAAATGGAATATCAGAAATCAAGTGCTCTTTTTATTTCTCTATAAACATTTAGAACAATAAATAGTGTCGTTAAATAGTTTGATATTTATTGAAAATCTAAGTAGCGTAAAATATTTCCTCTAAGAAACCTTATAACCTTAACCCTAAAAATGTAACAAACAACGAAGAAACGGGAAGTAAAATACCTTTTCCCTATTAGTTGAGGTGTAAGTTAACTATAAATCTTGCTATTGACCTAAACTGTTAATCTTGAGACGCAAAAATTCATTCAATATATTGTTTTCTTCGACTACGGTTCTATAAAACCTAATTTATAATCTATACTTTACCTACCAATTGTTGGTTTCTAGAAGCCGATCTCTATCCAAACCGCACGTAGCAGAATACCTCAAACTGAATAGCGATTTGAGCCTCAAATGTCGTTCAAATATATTTTAAGATTTTTTTTTATATTAACACGAATATATTCATAGTAGTTTCATACTCCAGAAATGAGAAAAAATATAATGCCCCTTATTTTCAATCATTTTAATTTAAGAGTTAAGACTAGCGCATATTATTTTCGATCTATTTGTAAACTGTAGAGAACGAACAAGTTGAAACTACAAAGAATTAAAATAACATAAGGGCATTAGTATTCTCTGAATAGTCGTTCAAAAAATACTCCAAAAAAATAATAAACAGGTGAGAAAATAAAGTAGTGATTAACTAATTTACTGATATTTAATAGAATCCCTGGAACAGTTTTAATAATTAGATATTTTCAGTACAAATAGAATATGTGCAATATATTTCACAAATCAAGGGATTATTTTAACAGTCAAATTCTAGATAAATAACCCTACTGGTTACTAAATTATAAATTTATTACATAAATTAGCCTAGTAATCCACTTTTAACCTATATTTCATTTACAGCTATTTGAGAACTTAATACTGATTTAAGGTCAGTAAATAAAAGTAGTCATGATTAATTCAAGTCTAATGTTATCATCATCTTATTTCAGAATTTCCTAGCTTCTACTTCAAATATTCTTACAAGATAACCTAAATTGTACTTCCGTAAAAAAGTAACTATATCTGGTTTCACAAACTATATTAATCCTTAAAAGTATGTCACCGTAAGTACCTAGGTACTACAATAAATATCATCCAGCTTACATATCAGTACATATTTTATAGTAATCTATTAATATTTTCTAAGAGATAAATTGAGGTCCAACTAATTCTACTGGTTTCCTGACGGCTTCTGCTAGGTGGTCTGGCATGTTGACCAGAGTAGAGTAACTAGTGCTCCGGAGCGTACTGCCTACACTAGCACGATATACTCTGCACTACTAGTGTACTTAGCACGAAACCTAGAGATTGAAAAAACCTTTAATAACACGTACAAGTATACAACATAACGGCCACCTTCATAGCATTAATTGTAACTAGAATTCATAAGCTACCTCATCCTATTCCATTGCTTCATTAATGCTATGTAGTTCTTTAAACCTACTTAGACTATCCTAATAAAAATCTGACGCTAAAGGTTTCAAGTATGTGATTGTAAGAGTAAAATTTGTTTGGGGGGGAATGTGATGTGAATGATGTTATCAAATGTTTACATACGTAGCTTAGAATCTTCCACCTCTGCCCTGGTTGCCACCGCCGCCGTAGTTACCACCGTAACCACCCCCACTGCCGCCTCCTCCTTGGTTCACGTTATAAGGGGCAGACCTATTGTTGCTATACTGCTGGTTGCGAGTAGGACCGCCGCTGTATCCCTGTTGATTGTAATTACCAAAGTCTTGGTTCCCCCACCCTCCTCTTTGGTTGCCACCACCCCCACCGTAACCACCACCTCCCTGGTTACCACCCCAGCCTCCTTGGTTGTTGTCCCATGGGTTGGAGTTGTTCCAACCTCCTTGGTTGTTCCCGTAACCTCCTATGACAGGTATTTCTTTTAAATTTCGTAAAATTGTGAAAGTTGGACATTTAATTTGTATGGGATGACTACATACCACCATTGCCCCAGTTGTCGTTTCTTCCTCCTCCGCCGCCACCTCGTCCTCCTCTTTGGTCAGAACCGTCTTTGGGGAGTGCTTTTTTAACATCTAACTGTTTACCATTAATCTTGTGGGGAGCATTCACTGTGAAACAATATATCATATTAAATCAACATGGAAAATTGAAACAAAATTAAGATCATTAATAGTATATAGAAATCCAAAATCTTGAACAATTTTATAGTGACTTTATAACAAATAAAAATTATGAAGTAAAAATATTTTTTAATAGTATAAGTTAATTTGTCCATAGACCTGCGTACCAGATCATCCCTCAAACTGGAAGTCAGGTATAGCTTGGTCTATGTTTTACTATCCACAGTCAGAGGAAGCCAAACCTGGATATAGATTAATCCATTTTGGGGCAAAGCTGTGGAACATCATAAGTAGGTTAAAAAAAATATATACTTACAACAAATTTTGTCAACTGGATCATAATCATCAAATTCAACGAAGCCAAAGCCACGTTTTTTCCCAGTTGCTTTATCTGTAACTATACTGACGTTTTGTACATTCCCATAGTTTGAGAAGTATTCTCTAAGTTGTTCTTCGTCATGATCATCTTTAATGCCACCAATAAATAATTTTTTAACCGTAGCTCCAGCTTCCGGATTTTTGATATCTTGTCTGGCTACTGCTCTTTTGGTTTCTACCATACTAAGAACAAAAAAAAAGTAGGTCTTGATTTACAACGAAACCACTAATTAAATAGTAATTAAGTAATTAACACGTTGATAATTGTGAGAAGTTGTTGGCCCCACAGAAAATGCCACGTGTTTGAATACGCGTAGCATTCACTAAGCAGTGTCAATTGTTTTGTGCAGCATAAAACGATGTGAAAACAATTATTAACTTTCACATAGCTGGACTGCAACAAAATTATTAATCAAACACTTACCGGCCATCTATGCGATGTGGCCTATTAAGTTGCGCATCATCCACCATGTGCGCTTTCGAATACGTGATGAATCCGAAACCTCTTGATCTTTTCGTTTTGGGGTCCTTCATAACAACAACATCGACAATTTCACCCCATTTTTCAAAATGTGCTTTTAAGGATTCATCAGAGGTCCTATAGTTCAATCCTCCAATGAAAATTTTTCTATGTACCTCGGGCTCATCCTAAAAGTAGAACACGAAGGCGTTACAAAATGGCGGAATCATTCCTTCATACAGTTATAAACGATAAAAAGTGAAAAAATAATAATAAAAATCAACAAATGCATGGTATATAATGATAACGAATCATCTTTATCATTTTAAAACAAGGAAAATTATAATAAAATAGAAAGTTGTTTCTACTTACAAAGCCATCGTCACCGTTTTGCGGTCTCATGTTGACCGAAATGAGAAAATATTCTAACCACTAATAATAAACTTGTTTAAAATAATAACTTCTTAGCGCAAAACAAACAATATATTAAATAAAAATTGTTCAAGAATTATACGTCCACACCTAACCGACGCCACGCCAAAAAGAAAGATGGTTGATGTTCCAGAATTCAATAATTTTAACTAGCATCGCCGTCGCCAATCGCAACACGTCAACATAATTGGTGTTGCCATAAATATAATGTAATTTTGTCATTAGACATTATCAATTATTTTACAAAACCTCTGAAAAATTTTAATGATGTTATGATTTTATTATTTTATTTTGTACATTTTTCCGATAACAGGTCAGATAATAAAAGTTTCCAATTCCAAGTTGTATTCAAATATGACATAATTTAATTTTAAATGTGTACAAGTGAAAATATTACATGTCTTAAAAACTATTTCACAAAATTCGGTAGCGTTTTACCTATCAAAAGAAGAGAGATTTTTGGCAAAGTTAAAGATATTACATAATAGAAATAGAATTTGATTTGTTCGTTTTCAAATCAATGTTGTAATTTTAAATGAATAGATAATTCTTTAGTATTGATGTGACTTGTTGATATTTATGGAATTCAGCTAATGAAGAATTCCCGTCGTGTTCAGTTCGTAAAATAATTACTATATATAAAACTGAAATGTCTTTTTTTATTAACTTTAGTTCGAAGCTATACTTTTTTAGAAAATATAATAGCTATGTTTTTTTGTATATTTGTTACTAAAATTCTATTCCAATAAATATTATTAAAAGGGGACTTTATTGATTCAATACGTCATTTCTTCAAAAAAACTTTGTATTATTTATTTGTATGCTTTTGTTAATATTATATGTTTGCATAAGTTTCATTTAAGAGGTATTCATCAAAAGATGTTACTAATCTGTGCCTTATAACAAAAAACAAAAAATCTGTCAACTCACTTGATAGCCGTTTGTTTGTTGATAATTTTAATGCAATTCCAAAGTTTCTTACAATTAATTAATATAAATTGTATGCATGTGCTACAAATTTAACTCTAGTTTACTATCATAGTTAAAGCAATATTTTGCATTTGAATTGATAATCAATTGCATATAAATCATGAAGCCAAGCGGCGGTGGCGATGACTATGTAAGAAAATAAGTTAATATCTCAATATGATTCGATTATTAAATTAATTATTATCCTTTTAAGGAGGGTGATGATTATTTACAAGAGGAACCTGAACATACAAGGAAGTTGTTTATTGGTGGACTCGATTATTGTACGACGGATACGTCATTGAAAGAGTTTTATGAACAATGGGGTGATATTGTTGATGTTGTTGTTATGAAGGATCCGCAGACAAAGAGGTCACGCGGTTTCGGCTTTATAACTTATTCCCGGGCTCATATGGTAGATGATGCTCAGAAAAATAGACCTCATAAAATTGATGGAAGGTATGTTTTCTGCCTGTACATACTGAGAATTTCAATTACAAAAAACATGTTAAGATTCTTTAAAAAAATTTACATTTACAAAAAGATAGTAAATAGTGAATTAGGTAGATCTCAATCATAAAGAACTCACAAGTGATGAAATTTAATTTTCATTCATAATTGTTGTCATTAACAAACTAGTCAGCATACATTTTAATAAATTATATATTTTTTCTGTGTAAACTACTTTTCCTTTTATAATAATCCACTTTGTATTGGAACAAAAAGTTTGAAATATCCAGAAAAATAAAACACTATAATAAGATAGCTATTTAAAATATTACCAAAATAATGGTTGAATTAATATGTGTGATGATTTAAGATAGCTCAATGGATTTAAAATGTTTTACTTCTTATTCAACATCTAAAGCTTTATTATGTTATACTGTTTAAAAAAATAAATGGAGAAGATGTCTCTTCTTTGTAAAATATAATACCTACATATGAAACTTCCAGAATTGTAGAACCAAAGCGAGCTGTACCGAGGGAAGAGATCAAAAGGCCGGATGCTAGCGCAACAGTCAAGAAACTGTTTATCGGAGGAATAAAACAAGATATTGAAGAAGAAGATTTAAGAGAATACTTCAGCAAATTTGGCGAAATTATTTCAGTGAGTCTAGTAACAGAAAAGGAAACTGGGAAGAAACGGGGCTTTGGATTCATTGAATTTGATGATTATGATCCAGTTGATAGAATATGCTGTAAGTTGTTTACAAAATATATACACATTTTGTATTCTAGTAGATGATGATGATTTTGTATTCTTTTGACCACCTCATACACACATATACATAGTTTTCATCATAGTTGAAATTGAAGTCTCCATACTGACTGAGCAATACATATATATTATGTTCCTTAACTCATTAAAACTATGGAGGAAATTTAAACTGCTTGATAAATTCTTATTTAATAACAAGTTAGAACATTTTAAACCTTAGTCTATTTGAATGTGTCTTTAATAATATTTTGCCATTCCATCAGTCAGAATTAAAAAAAAGGTTATAGAATTTAAGATAATGGATATTATGTTTCCTTCTTGAATGTGATTATCAGTGAATCTGTTCAACTAACACAGCATAAGATCTAAATATAGTTTACTTAATATTAGTTTATTAAAGGTGCTATGGGATTGCTCACATCCAATTGTACTGAATTTAATATATTTTATAATAAAGTTCCGAACTGTAGAATAAAAAGTAAACATAATTTTATGGTTCTAAATCAATTTGATATGATGGTTGAACCATTTAAAATACTAATTTATAAACTATGTATTAACAAATTTATGCTCTAAGTAGTACTTATGCATAATCCATTAAAAAGAGAGTAATTATCTAAGCAATTAGATGAAAAATTAACAAAGTATGAATATAATTTCCCAGATAACATTAAAATTCATTAGCATTTATTACTTTTTAAGATGTGATTTATACATATTAATGAAAAATTTTTCAATATGTTAAATGTTATTTCAGTACAACCAAGCCACAAGGTCAAAGGTCGTCGCTTGGATGTCAAAAAGGCTATATCAAAGACAGTGATGGCATCAAGCAGTAATAGGGGTCGGAGTGGAAGATGGGGCAATAGACAATTACAGGATTGGAATACAGGTAGGCTATAAAAGTTCCCAGTATAAAAGTCATATCATATCTTCTTCTACCTGGCAAGTTCCCAGCTATAGCCATGCCTTACGTGTTGTGTATAGTTTTGGCTAATTTTTTTTACGACCGGCCGCCTGCCTGACATCAACCCTCTTTTGGGAATCAGCATTAATCAGTGATGTCTAAATATTCTTAGAAAGTACATATGAAAAATCACATTGGTACTTGCCTGGGCCAGGATCGAACCCGCGCTCTCGGCAACGAGAGGCGGGCCCTCTAACCATTAGGCCACCACTGACTAAAAGTCATATCATATAATGGATTAATTACTTAAACCTCCTTAGACTTTGAATTTGTAGATCTAGAAAAAAAAATATGTATAAAATCCATTATTATTATTCCATATTTAAATCATACTGGTCTTAATTATTCTTCAGATGGCGGCTTTGATTCAGGTTACGAGCAAGGATGGAACAACCAGAATCCATGGGATAATTCAGGCAATTGGGGCAACCAGGGATATGATCAAGGATGGCAGGGCGACTTTGGGAGTGGATATCAACAGAACTATGGTGGGGGGCCGATGAGGCCTAATTTTAGTAATATTCGACAACAACCATATAATGCAGGTACTTTTAATTTATAACCATTCTTATACCTAAAATGCTGATGAATTTAATTCACACAATTTTAAATCTTTATTTTTTAAATTTGTTTGAAATTATAATTAATAAGTATTATTGAAGCGAAACTTAATTATTATTTTGCAATTTACCTGTAATGCTAAACAGTGGCGGCTGTACCTTAAGTGCACTCGTGCGCTGAACCACCAAATCAAAAGATTTGAGAATTACAAAATATTACTTCATCTTTATTTTTAAATTACCATTTTAATATTTATTTTCTAAACTTACAAAAACGTATAAAAATTAAGTTTCTCATTATAGTCAAAAAGTTTGAGCGCTTTAATACATTAATATCTCGTGCGCTTCGGCGAGTGCACGAGGACTCCTAATACATCTTGTATGAGAACGCATTAATACGCCTGGCGCGTGAAACAAAAGATCGTTCATAGAAATGTACCGAGTAATGAGTCGGTTCTCGAGCGCCGCACGAGCGAACCGAAGATTACCGAGAGCACCCGATGTACGACGAATTGGAATTGAAAAGAATCAAAACTATTTTCCGATATACCATGCACTTGCAAAATGCACTTTCTGTGCTTAGTATTGAAAAAAATAATTATACAAACAATATCCGATTTTAATAAAAATTTGATTGAATATTTCGCTTCAGAAAAATGTCGTCGCATTGATTTAATGTATAATAAATAAACATAGTTTATGTCAATTGGTTTTTTGTTACATTTTCTAATTTAATATTTTAGTAAAGTGCACCACCAGTTCGATAACCCACCAGCCGCCACTGATGCTAAATATGAATCCTCAATAAAAGAGAATATAAAATATTACACATTGTTTTTTTATGGACTAGGTGGTGGCTACAACAGCGGCAATCCTTCCAACTTCAACAATTCTGGCAACACTCCCAACAACCCTCGTCGATTTTAAATGATCTCTTGTAAGTATGTTTTCATATAGTTATTAATTTATTATTGACAATTTAATATTAACCCAAAAAGGTCAATTATTTGTCAATTATCAACATTCTTAGGTATGAATATGGCTAAATCAACAATTCAAAAAAACATAATCTGTAAAAAAAAACTATTTTGGTCAGGATATACCAAATATTATTTTTTTATGATACTTGATAGCGAAAGCTATTTTGAAGTTGAAGTTCCATAACTAAATATTTTTGAACATAGGTCTCAAGCTTAGTTGAAGCTAGGCAGGCAGTAGATAGGCCAGGAGCTAGCTAGTGAAGTGGACAACTGCATTAATAATTATTTTACTTATTGTAAGGTATTGTGTTCACTATAGAAAATATTCGATTTCAGTCTTAAAACTTTTTCATCACAGTTTATATGCACGGGCTATTTTTGCTGTTATTAATATTATACGGTTGTAAAAACTGTGTTATAAAGCGTTTTTTAGATTTTAAGTCATGTTATGTATTTATTCTTAATACAAGCACATTCCACTTTCGAATTTTATGCAATATAAGGTGCAATTTTTTTCTTCTACTATTGATGAATGTTTATATTCATTGGTTTTTATATTTGAATATGGGATTGATTGATTTAATGTTAAGGATTTGTTTGTGGGGTTTTTAAATACAGTTGAATTTGAAGTTTAAATTATCGATTGTTATGTTTTTTTTAATTTAATGAAATGTTATTTTCTCGATATTTTATTATTATAAATGTAGAATTACATTGTTCTTATTTCGTGTGCAATATAAATTAAATTGACAATATTTTCCATGGACTCTTCTACTCTTTGGACAAGCCTCCGTTCGTGGAAAAGGCCATGGTAAGTAAAATATAATGAAATAAAAACTTAATAATAACAATATCTTTTATTTCCCTTACCTACCTCTAATGCCACCTGATTGTGTTTGTAGCATTGACTAGCACAGTTTAAACTTTTACGTACGTTGATTCTAAATATACAAAAGTCTTACGCATCTTATTATTACTGTTATCTTCTATACAAAGGTAATAATACCGAATGGAATATTTAATGCGAAATCACTATTTATTTGGTTAATAGTAACAATAAATCTAATATGATATTACGTAAAATCTATATCTATTGTGTCTATACTTGTTAATTCGATCTACGTTTAATAGCTAATGAGTTTTAGACTCAGTGTTATATGTAATTACTAATTAATATAATTATTTTTCAATGTTCGGAGGCGTCGGTAGACAGGGACATGGCGGTGCGTACGGAGCGTTGAATATTGGCGGGAAAAAACCTGACGCTGCTGCGAGTTGCCTTGACAAATAAAAAAAAATAGATGTCAAAAGTTACAATTAAAATACGTGAATTGTTTTAATATATTACAATTGTTTTTTATCAATAGTGCAACTCATATAAAAATACTAAATTAATATAGTATTGGTATAAATTGCGCCACACATACCTGTATTGCTGATCTAAATGAGCTTTTTCAATCCTCTTATCTTTGGCTCTTCGGTTTTGAAACCATATTTTTACTTGAGTTTCGCTTAGGGTTAACGCTGACGCAAGCTCACATCTAAAATAAAATCGTCATATTTAAAAAAAATTAAAAGATATAAAATAACAGATTTTTATGTTACGAAAAAACAAAATAAAACCTGTTCTTTGCATTTTTAATCTATTCGGAATAATACTTAAATAAAAAAGAAATATCCCTATCCTGTTTACGAGGGAACAAGTTTTTTTTTAATTAAAATTACGCTGTATTGCCATATAAAAGATAATATCAGACGAAGTTCGTCTTTTAACCATCTTACACAAACTACGTGTTCACTGATTGAGTGTAGGTATTAATAATTAATTCTATTAACAAATATTAGTTTACCGAACATATTACAATTTACAACTTGTTGACGACTTATAAACTCGACTTGGTTGTTTAAAAATCATAACAATAGTGTTAAAATTTATACGCACCAATGTGCGTATGAATTTTAACCTAGGCAATCCTAGGTTTGGTTTTGGTTATAAACCTCGGAAAAAATCGCAACCTATTAATAATTTTGGTTTACAGTTACTTTAACGTATGAATTAAATATGAAAGTTACTGGCTTTAAATTTCTTCATTTGATTCTGTTTATTTCTAACATAATTCAAGGTCATTTCGTATTGAACATTTATTTCTATAGTTTTATCTCTAGGTAATGGTCATAATATAAGTCAATAGTATCATAAATATTTACAAACAGTAGTGCAAGTACTGACTGACGTTACATTAAAATCGCATTATAGTGACGCTAGAAAGTAAAAGTGGATTTATATCTTAAAAGAATTGAAGATTACTATTGAAGTTCTACCTTCGTGCTCTCGCCACGTATTCACCCCTGGCGTATTCTAGCTCGAGTCTTAAAGTCTGATGAGCAGAAAACGTAGTTCTCTGTCTGCGTGGTCTATTTTCCTTTCGTCGTCTCCGAGCCACTGCAAAGAAACAAGTCATTACGAATGACAACTTTTTGACAAATTAACAGCTAAGTAATTTTAATTTTAAAGCATGTCTTATATAGGTTATAAATTTATCTAACACATTGTTTTTTTTCATTCGGAAATATGTTTAGTGCTACATGCAGATTTTTTTAAACCCTAACCTATACAACCTCAAATAAGGCTTCCTCTTTGTTCCTGTATAAAAAGGAAGCGATTTAATCTGAGAAATATTTGTAAGAGCTCTGAATCCGCACCATATTGTCACATTCCCCGGGAAGCGTTAGTGAAACCTTGCATCAAGGGTGAATCACGATCATTTTAATAATCAGTTTGTAATACAATATTCAAGGATCACGATGACCATATTATTATGAGAATGTGGGGTCGGATTTCAAGAATTTACTGTTATTTTTTTTTAAGGATTCAATAATTTACTGCCAGTTTTTACATGAATGGATATATTATTTAATTTTTTAATAAGTCATGAGACTTAGCGAAAATAATTAAGAAATTATCTTGGCGTAATAGTCATAGTGAAATTTAATGCGGGAAAAACAATGTTCAAAAAGCATGATAGTTAAGTTTTTCATTAAAGTTGTTTTCTACTCTCATAATAGAAATTTGGAAACATCTGTGAGCAATGTTTTTTTCATAAACGATTTTTATTCACTTTTTGTTGAGAAGACATTAATTTATAATGCTTATAACAATATCCAAGCCTCTAGACCTGCGAAGGAAATTAAAGCCAGTTTGCAATAAACATTAAAGTACCTAATACCTATGCAAATAAATCCACATAAAATGCGACTGGGTTTAAAAATTATTCAAAATATTGTTTAGCTTAATAAGAAATTCGAAACTAAGTACTTATTACGCTAAATCCTCACCAAAAATGACGGGAATCTCTATCAAACAACTGTTTCCGGTGTGAAGCACTGAAATATTAAATTATATTGGCCGGCATTTTGCGATTAATGCAGTACGCTTAAGCTGTACAAAAAATAAACTAAAAAGTTTCTTACGACATGCACGCTAATTTAGCTTTTTTTAAAATACCTTTTAGTTACAGATGGGTAGGTACAACGATAATACCTACTAAACGAACATACACAAAATATCTGTAATTACCTATAGTGTACAATTATACCATTATACAATTTTAAAATCTTTATTAAAGAACAATAATAAAAGCAACTTTTCTTTAAAATAAATTTTCAATGACATCTCATCGAAATAACATTATTACTGTAATCTATTTCTATTAGATAACGATAAAAAAGAAACATACAAGTATATGAAGATATTAAGACTTGGCTACATCTATAAATACTGTATTGTTTTGTAGTTTTTTTAGTGTATAACATTAGGACAATATAAAAGGAAAGAACAATAGTTCGCATGATTCCTGTCGTTAAACATCAAAACGATGCGTGAGAGATCGCCAAATGTGTTTATTATATGAAAGCCGGACCTAATGATCTTCATGATAATGTACTAAATTGTACAAAGATCTTGATTATATTCTTACTACTAATACTTTGTGATTAAATAAACTCTACCTTTATTGTCTATGGTGTGATCATAAGTATACAAAAAATAATATGTATAATGTTTCAAATACGTTATATTCCAAAACTGTAACATTAAAACTATTCAAAATTATATACATTATAATGTCTAGAAATGAGTTTCTTTGATTTACAATAATAAAATATGTATAAATAGATGTCACAGCTTTGTTCAAAATGATAATAAAAATTAAAGGGTGTTGTCTATGGGAGCCGTCAGCTGTGGCGGCTCGGTCGCCTACATGTGTAATTGGACCGTAATAAGGGCTTAATCTGACTGAGTGTTGTCACATTAAATCATCATTCACTCAATTGAGGTGAAAGTGGGGTATTGATTTTTAAATTATCCCATAAGTATTAAATTTATCAATTACATATGTATCTTTATGTCGATAATTTATTAAGATAAAAGAGAAATTTTCTTTTTCTAAAATCTATCTATTTTTGTGAAAATAAATATTTAAAAGCTGGCTGAATTAATATGATCGTGGTGAAAATAGTTTATGTTTTTCTTTTTTATTACTAGTATTGATAATAGTCGTCATGAGATACAACTATTTTAAAGAAAACTCTCCCCTTAATTATTGTTTTGTTACTGGCGATAAAAAAATGATTGTCAGAACAACAATGCCAACATCGCGATAATAGAAAACATATATATTGGGGTTGCTTCCCTTAATATTCATTACCTATCCCCTAATTACAGATTCGTTCGACCATCATCCATTGAGATGAGAGATTACACCTGACTTGTTTGTTTTTTGTTTTCAATACTCTCGAAGATATTCATATTATTGAGAACGTTTGCTTCAATAATTTTCAATTGAACGCAATTCTCTGCGAATCATTTCAAACTAGAAAAGATATAAAAGAACCGCTTGCTTACCGGTAGATTGTATAATGTTAATTCACCTTATATTTTATTTTATAATGATAAGATTATGTGAAAAATTTAGGTATTTGTAAATATGTTCAGTTTTCAATTTAGTATAAAATCGTATTTATTATCTATGATAATAAAATTGTTATACAATTATTGACAGGTTGGTAAAATGTATGAGTTTATTGCAAATAATCGCCTTAAGTTTGATTTTTGATCTGTAATTTACATTTCGTTATCACAAAATTAAATCCATAACATTAATTTTATAATCAAACGTAGATAGGTATTGGTATGTATACAAAAATTCAAATCCTAATACAATAATATCAAATAATTCAAATTCCATTCCGATAAACACGACTCAAATCTACCTAAATCCACTCAAACATTTTGTTAAACGAGGACGATACAAATTGCGGCTAATGTAAATCACAATGTTATGTTTCCAGATATTGCTCGCATGTGTCCATTCCCACGACGTCACCGCTTTATTTTGCACTACATAAAACATGTGACTCTGTCTGTGAACATTAGATTCATTTATACCTTTTGGAGAACTTTAGAAATAAAAGAAATTTGTTCAAATCACCAATGAATATAACATGTACTTAGTATTCAATTTATTCTTAAGGACAGTCTCGCGAGATTTTTCGTTAAGTTTTGATAAATACTCATTAAGTAGATACATATGTTATAAGGTCAGAATGCCGTGGAAATAAATTTACATTTTATTTGTTTAAAAAACGAATACCTCAGTCATCGGCTCATAGTTTTATATTTGATTGTTTTTAAAACTGACAATCATTTTTAAATAACACTAAGACAAGCATAGCTCTCATCATGTGAACTTACTTAATAAGAACTTTCTTATCGCCTGGGTACCATTTGAACTGTATAATAAAATGGAAATCTTTTAAATTTATTACCTCTAATACATTATTACTATAACCGGCCATATAGGTGCGTACGAATCAAGGTCTTCATCATTAAAAAGAAATATTTATAAATTAAATAATTTCTAACACATTTCAATCAAAACACTACAACGATCGAGTACAATTCGAGCAAAATTAAATTAATTCAATGCTAATTTTCGTTTCAGTTTCACGGACCGTTGTTCCGTAATAGTTATAAGTGTCGAACAATGAATTTTATAGCGGTATAGGAGAACAGTACTGGCAATTTTCATACAAGAATGATTCTGAATAGAACGGCCCGCCTCCACAATGAGGCATCGAATCGTGGTGTGGTAATCGCATCAGTGTGACGCTGGAGTTTCTCCTTCCGCATCCATAGACAGCCCAGACGTTTTTTAACGATACCACGCGAAAAACCATCATGAATCATGATACAATTTTCACGACAATAAGTACAATTTTTAATAAGATTAAACTTGATTATATAGATATGATTAAAAATTGTATGGATTTCGTCTGTGATTTTTTAGAATGGATTTTCGTGAAAACAGTTATTGTAATGAAATTCTATTATATGAATAGGTATTGAATTGAGTAATATGCAAGGGAAAAGTATAGGTACATGATGTTCACGTACTAATCTTTAGGATACTGATTTGAAATTTTTTATTTGTCGATAACTAATTTGCAGATCATCGAATACAAAAATTGGTTACATTCATGAAAATTTACTTTTATATATTATGTCTTCTACCTGACAATTTTCCAGCTATAGCCAGGGTCTGCCTTACATGTTGTGAATAGTTTTGGCTATCAGTTTTTACGACCGGCCTCCTTGCCTGACATCAACCCTCTTTTGGGAATCAACATTAATCAGTGGTGTCTAAATAGTCTTAGAAAATACATATGACTCGGAAAAATTACATTGGTACTTCCCCGGGCCAGGACCGAATCCGCGCCTTCGGCAACGAGAGGCGGGCCCTTTAACCACTAGGCCACCACTGACTTTTACTTTTATATATTATGTATTTATCAAAATTGTTTAAAGATGTCAACCATAAATTCGTATTGTTGGTATAAATTCACGTGTGACCATGTTTTGTCTTCAGAAGCTTTCACCAAGACATGAAACTACGTAGTTTAGGTATACCTACTCTTTTATAAATACAAAAATAAAATGCGGTGGACATTACAAGTTAAAAAAGTACGTATATAGTTATCATCCACTAGAAAGGGAAGTCCAGCAAAGAGTTGTGTAAGCGGGGATTAAATATCTTTGAAATATATTTTATCTCCCATCTTTCTATTATACTTATTCAAGATATTTTTCTAGTAATATTTTATAAGACGCAAACATGAGTCTTTGATCTCGGCTAGTAGTTAAGGATGTCCAACGTTTTCTTTATGCGGTTCCGGTTTTAAATGTTATCTTAGCGGTTTTTTTTATATTTTTCTCCCTTGGCCGCTAAGGAAAAAGATACCGAATGAATATTAAATAAATTGTTTGGTAACTAAAATTATGTTATAGAATTCCGTAATTTTAATGTTGATGTCTTGTTTAGGTACGGCGCATAAAAAAAAATCTCATGGTATATTTATAGAATTTAACGAGCAACGAAAAGTCTGACCACCAAAAAGGTTATCAGAGCCATTCTAAAAACTTTTAAATTTGAAAGTTATTATCAATTAGGCGCATATATGCAATACAAATTGTATAAAATATGAAACTACATATAAAACATGTATATACAGAAAACTATGTCTATAGTATATACCAATAAAATTTTACACATACCTATTATTAGAAAATACAGATAATAAATAATTATTTGTTATAGACAGTTGATATCAATTAAAATTAATGAAATGGTTGTGACGAAATCAAGGTCTGTTATAAATTTATGTTACGTACTTCAATAAGCTTTCCATAAATATGACTATTAATTATTAACTATGTATGACAAATTTTAAACTAATTTATAAGTAAAAAAAATGATGTACGCATTAACTGTTGTTAATTTATTGTTAATTAATTATAACGGTTTTATCATTTACTTTTTGATTCCTGTTTTGTTACACATTTTGGAATTCATATTCTTAAATCACCTGTCATAAAAATATAAAACAAATTAATATTAAAAACAAAAAAAGTAACTTTCGACTCGTTAATAATAATTTTCTATTTTTTTTTCAAAATGCCATATAGGCATCAGCGGTATACAAAAGTCCAGACTAATATCCATGTTTTAAACTAATTTAAAGTGAATTTGATTAAGTTTTTAATATAGATTATATTTATGTACCTAGATATATACATAGTACGGTGCTTTTGTAAAAATAAAACTCAACAATATAGGTACACAACGAACATAATGTTGCTAATTATCTATTTTTATATATTCTTTGTATAGAAAAACCAAACCTATGTCAAGAAATGATTTATATCATCCAACATCCAAATCTAACAACTACAATATTTTTTTTATTACTAAGAGTCAAGTAGTTTCTTAGGTATATAACCTTTTTTTGTTACCTACGAAGAGTTTTGCCCTACAAAAATACTAAAAACCAGGATACCTATAAAAAATTCGTTTCCAACTGACTTTAGATATATACCATTCAAGAATTGAGAAGAAACGTGTTTATTTGATTAAAAAAACCTGAAACCGTTTGATTGTATACATATTATATGTAGTGGACGATGCTACTAAGAACTAAAATATCAGTAGTAGGTAATTAGGAAGATTTTTGTACGAAAAGAATGTCTTATTACGAATGCAGTACGAAACAAATTAATTTAAAGAGTAAAGTTAAGATAAAGTAAATAAAAAGGGTAATCATTATGGGTTAGTAATTAATCAAAACTCTTTCTATGATAATAGAGTCTAGGAGCAAAAACAAGTGTTTGATTGTGATTTGTGAAACTCGAAAATGTAAGCAAAAATAGATGTGAGTTGCTGATTGCTTTCCTTTTTAATTTCTTCCTATTAAAAAAATAATTATTTATAAAATGTACCAGTGTCAAGTAAAGATATTTTTTTTATCTTTAAGGCCCTTCTCGTCTAGGTTAAGAGTAATTTTATTGTAAATGTTCGTAGATTTAAATTCATAAATTCAAAAAACTTAAACTAATAAATTAATTTATATTTGTTAATTAACACCCACATTAATGTAACACGTATAATTATTATTTTATAAAAAAGTGGAATGTAAGCCATAAAGATATATTATCGGTCATAATAAAATATCGTTGCAAAAAACATATTGTCGCGTATGTATCGCAACGAAATTTTTTAATACCTAATTGTATCATAACGACAAAACAATGTAACACATTTCTTTTTAATATAAATGAAAGGTAATTACTGGCAGAGTTCTTTGTATAAAAGAACCCAGTTTATTTCAATTGAAAAAGGAAATTACTAATTTTGCTCCACTTGTCTAAATCCAACATCACGGTTTTGATTTAGATTTAAGGTAGAATGATTAGAACACTGATATAGTAAATGTTGCAGATTTGAAAACATTTAAGAAATCGGTAATATAACTTTAAGATGAATAAATAATAATAAAAAGGAGGAAATATTACCTACATATAAAGTTTATTATTTCTCATGACTTTCCATATATTATATCCTTATGAGACATATGAATAACTAATAAAAGAAAATTAATAAGAGAAAGTACTTACGAAAAGCCGCAAGACCTGCCCCGAAAGCTAATTGCTGATGCGGCAGAAGTATCGGTCGCGGGCATAGAGGATATTGAGAAGGCGGCTGCCAAAGAGGAGATAGCTGTTCGCTGGCACTGTCCTCAACTTCAATATCTGAAGATGATTCGCTCTCAGATTCATGGGCTGGTTGTCTAGTTTTGTTTTCCTGGGACGGCTCTAAGTGTCCGTATATGCGAGCGAAGAATTTACGAGGCGAAGACGGTCTTGGGACGTGTATAGAAGTATTCTTATCTTTCGGATCGTCGTTCATTTTTTGTTATCGGTTATTTATTGGAATAAAATAACACAAATTTATATAGTTTTGGAATTATTTTAAGCTTTAAAACTCTAAAATAATGTGTAGTTATGTTTAGATTTTTAATATTTAATTACGAGAACTTCCTTAGGATTTTTCGACACATCCACACTGATCCCGGTTAGCACGTGGATTGATAGTGTCAGGTGTTTGTCTGGATGTGCCGCCCTCTTCCCTCATCCCTTGCGGAAACCAAATCCAGTGGAAAGGGTGAATACGTCCAATGGGAACGCAGGCTGATTCAACCCGGCCCACAAGGCGGCAACATTTTAGTAATTGATTTGGGTATTACGCTTTTTTTTCTGTGCGAACAAGAAAATTGTGATTTGAACTTTTTTAAACTTATGAAACCTCCTTTGTATTGTTATAAATTATTATTTCGGTTTCTAATTCAGATTTGACATAATTATTGACAGTAAATTTAAGCGTTACATTAAAATTGATGTAAATTCACTGAATATCCATATTTATGATGAAAACTGATTGTTTTATTGTTTTAGCTTATTTTTTCTTGTGCTTTAATTGCAACTCTACTATACCGTTACATAGGGACAAATTGCATTTAGTCAATCATAGAAATGGTGAGATTATCTTCTACAATTTTTTATTGTTTTTAATGAAATCAAGCTTCTTCCCAAACTGGCGCCTGCCGCCTCCACATTCATCTTTATTTATTCTTATGTCCTATGTAGGTATTTAATATTATATTCATTGAAAGCATGGTGGAATAACAGGTAGGTATATACCTAGTCTTATTTCCAAGATACCTATTTTTTTTGGTTCCCACCTACAGAAACCTACTAATTATATATATTAACATTATTTGTGTAAAAGTTATACCTATCCAAAATTCTACATATGTTTCGAACAGTTTAAATAACGTTTATTTTGAGTAAGGTATTGTTTACAAACGTAATACAAAAGTAAATAATACATCTGGTATAGTAGATAGGTAGTACCTATATTTTATATTTTACAGTTTTAAGTACGATAATATCAATTGTATCATAAATAGTTCAAAACTGTTACATGTTGATAATTTTAAATCCCCTCTCCATATAAATAAACCAACTAATGTGAAACCCGTAGCACTTTTTAAAATTATGGCATATGCACATTTTGTAGAGAATCATGTTACTTTTTAATTTGTTTACAATTAATTTTTAATTTTGTTACTTCAAAAAACTATCGATAAATTGCAAACATTTTCCTTTTAAAATACTTATATGTTTGAAAATTAGCAATTAGGCATCCATTGGCGTAGAGAGGGTAGTAAAAATTTTATATCTTATGTTATATAAATATATGATTACAGATAGTAATCATTATCACCTCTTAGAAAGAACAAAGAAGATGGCATCTAATATAGAAAATAGATTACGTAGAATAAAAGACTCAACTCAAGATTTGGGAAGAAATTTTTTCGACCACATTAATATGGGAATAAAAAATTTTGCAACAAAGAATCCAATAACAGACGACGATATAAGAGAGTACGAGCACTTGGTGATAATGAAAAAGAATCCGTATTTAGATATTAAGGATCTGGAAATAAATTACAGCCCAATGTCTCCTAAAAATGTTAGACACAGCATTAAAATGGGCTTTGATCCGAATCTACAGAATGAACCAGGTATATGTGACTCTATTGAAGATGTTCTGAACGTGGAAATCATAAATCGTGGTCTCACAGGCTTCGCAATACCGCCACAACTGACGAAGCATCTTTCAATGGTTGAAGAAAAATTTAAGATTAATAAAACAAGCGGTGAAGTTATACCCTCAACCAATAAGCCAATGAATACAAATGTATTAACAAGTCTGGATGAAGATATTACTACTTATATAGAGAACAAAAATGTTTAAAACGAATTGATTTCATTTAATTAGAATTATAACTATGACAAAATGCGATATTTTATTTTGATTTGCTTCTCATTATTTTAGTTGTCGGAATCTTGTTAGCAGCTTTGAAAGAGAGTCGGAAGTAAATGTTTTAATATACAAGAATGATTAGAAGTTGTGTGATTATATAATAAGTTGCATCATAAAGCTTTAATGAATTAATCATTTGATTGATCGGTTAAAATTTAATGTCTAATGATAGGCTTCGTTATTACTTTTTTCTTCGTGAATTACGATTTATAATTTATAGTGTATCTGAGTTTTTTTTACTGGCAACAGTGATAATAATAACAAACGTCAAAGAAAGTTTGATCGTTGACATTAATATATAGTCCCGGTTTGTTGTCGACTGTGTGTGGACTATTTATAAAGTTAAGAATTAAGCGGATACAACAATTGATCACAAGGTGCTGTTAATAGTCATTGTATTTTATTTATTGGCCACTATTCAGTGCTTAGATAATCACAAGTTATTTATTAATTGAATCAATTTGGCTCATAACCTATTATAAGGATATTATTATAAGTAAATACATGTTAATAAAATTTTTATCAATTAATTTCTATTGCAGTTATACGAATAAAATTTTAGTTTTCGTTCCATTAGAATGGAGTTGGAATGCAAGGTTCAGAATTACGAATGGGGAAAAATAGGATTGGATAGCACAGTCGCAAAACTTATTTCAAATGCTAACCCAAGTCTCACAATTAACCCCGAAAAGCCGTACGCAGAATTGTGGATGGGAACTCACCCTAACAGTCCTTCCCTTATCATAGACAGAGGCGTATTATTGTCGGAATATCTAGAGGATAACCATGATGCAATTGGCCCTGAAGTTAAAAGAAAATTTGGCGTCACAATTCCATTTCTACTAAAAGTATTGTCAATACGCAAGGCATTATCTATACAAGCACATCCAGCGAAGGTATTGTAGCATACATACACATAAAAAAATATTTAGTTACTTATATTTTGCTTAGGCTATGCAAATGCCATAAAACATTATATCAGTTAATCAGAGAATACTTTAAGTCGTGAATACTAATTTGTGACTTAGATAAGGCCTTAATTCAAGCTAATAGCTTGTTAATGAATAATTATTTATGTATATTATGAATAGATAAGAGAGGTAAGTTATTGTATACTTCCTCTGTGTACCTATTGAGTATGAGAGTATTGTTAAATGTTTTAAATTTTAATATGACGTTTTCATATAAAATGGAGCTTAAAGACATTTTATATACTTCTTCTAGTGTAAAATGATAACATATGGACATAAATATAATGAACTAATTATACAGTTTATGTGAAAACTAACTGTTAATCATAAATTCATGAAGATAATAATAAATGAACCTTATATACATATATTCTTTTCTTCCTAGGATCATGCGGAGCAGTTACATAAAAGTTTCCCACAAATGTATAAGGATCCAAATCACAAGCCAGAGCTTGCAATAGCACTAACACCTTTTGAAGCTCTTTGCGGGTTCCGACCGCTATCAAAAATACAGGACTTCTTAAAAAGTAATGTGCTATTTCAGTTTATATTTTATGACCTTCAATTTTGCTAGCAAAACTTTTTTTATTGTTAACTTATTTTATTTTTTAAATTATGGTTGAAGATGAATTTCCTATACATTTCCATGTAGATTGATTTTATTAATAAGCAGTTTGTTATTTTAATGGTGATAGAAATTTGAGTTGATAAATGAGTTCTCATCAGTTTCTATAGAACAGCAAATCTTTACTTCAATTTCAGAGTTACCAAACAAACAGCTGTTATGTTCTATAAATATGTAATTATATAATACTATTACTAATTAAACTATCATAGAAATAATTACAACTAGATTGATATATATATATATATATACACCTATATTTTACAGATCTACCTGAACTCACTGAAATTTTGCATAAGGACAATGTGAATGCCTTTCTTGCCATTGAAGAAGCTAATCTGGGTCAAAGAGAATTGAAACAAATATTTAATTCATTAATGACATGTGACAAAGATGTCATCAAAACTAGCTTGAATAAGTTGCTTATGAGGCTGGGAAGTGAAGGTAAAGTTTAAATGACCATTTTTATGTTATATTTATATGTTTTTTTTTTGTGCCGAGAAGGATTTCAATAGTATAATAACATAAAACCTCCTTTCAGGTGCAGAATTAAAATCGTTTCTTCTATACCCTCTGATAGAGAGACTTCATGCCGATTTCCCTGGTGATGTGGGTTGTTGGTCGCCATATTTTATGAACTATTTGATATTACATCCTGGTCAAGCAATATTTCTTAAGCCAAATTTACCACATGCTTATTTAAGTGGAGGTAATTTTCTGTTAATTTCTTATTATAATAAGTGTACATTTAAATTAGTTGGATATAGATTTAACTATGATTAATATCAGATCATTATTCAATGTTCTCCATGTGAGAAGAGGCCTTTGCTCAGAAGTGGGCTCTGATAGGCTGATGACTGACTGACTAATGTCTCATTATTAAAGACTAAAATTTTGACTAATTAATGTTCTAAATATAAAATATATATGTATACCACTATACATAATATATATAAATATTTACAGATTGTGTTGAATGTATGGCATGTTCGGATAATGTTGTACGAGCAGGGCTGACACCTAAACATATTGATGTGGCAACCCTCATAGAAATGTTAGACTATAACAGTTACACAACACAGGAAATGTTATTCACACCACACCTTGAAGACCAGAACAGTTGTATCTGGAAACCACCTGTACCTGATTTTGCTGTCGTTAAAATAAAAGTAAGACTTCATTTTAAAGTATGATAAGTTTATTACTTTCATAAAGTCGGAAGAAATTTTATTTTTTCTTTACTATCTTTTAGTTATGAATACAACTTCAACTACAATCCTTTTTGCATTTAATATGTTTGTTTGAATTTATATATATCAATAGAATGTCTAAAATAATATAGCACAATTGCCAGTGAAATTTCCATTAAAATTGGTCCAGCCTTTTCAGACAGATAAATATTGAAAAATAACTTATGTAAATATTTTACATTTCTTTACATACATATGCTTCAATTTTGTTTATTTGTATATGTGATCAAATTAATTTCAGGTTGACAGTGGTGATTACAACACCATAGTGCGTCCAAGCCCTAGTATTATAATTATTATATCTGGCAAAGGAAAAGTTTGTGACACTGAACCCATAGAAGTAAGACCTGGTGTTGTTGTGTTTCTTAAAGCAAGCCGACAATTGACTATAACACCAGCCATAGGATGCCATATTGAAGCCTATCAAGCTATATGTAATGTTTGATTAACAATTAAGTCATAAAAATAATATATTTAATATATTAGCACCAATGTTATAAAAAAAGCCATATCTATAAAATATATAGGCGTAATCCTACTTTATATAGTTTTTAAGCTGACTGACATTTAAATGTGGTTTTTTTTTCCAAATAATAATTTTTATGATATGAGTTCTAGTTTTTATATCACAAGATATCCTAAAACGTGAACAATAAAAATTTTTGTTGTAAAAAAAGATAAGGTTGCTATAAAAAAAAACTAGTACATTTTTACAATTTTAAATTTGGAATACTATTATTATTAATTATGATTAAGTCTTATAGACAATGGGGCTAAAATGTATTGATAGTTTTATAATCATGTATTGAATTTTATTGTTAAGACAAATTATGAGAATTCTAAATAGACTAAGTTAAATATAAATTATTTTTGTTACTAGCTATTGATCAATTACATGATAGTCTATTAATGACAAGATACATTTATTGTTATAACATTTTAATGATCTTTGTTTAATAAAATGAATGAAAAGTATAACATTAGTAGTATTTTCTAAGATATGTACACGTTTTAAAGGTTTTATTGTCATTGTTTAATAATAATAATTTTGTGTTTATTCAATAAAATATATGTTTTGTATTTGTTAATAATATAGTGAAATTGGTTTATTTTAATTTCATTTATTACTAATGTTTGCCATTTGCCTTCGTTATTAAATGAATTGTGTTTACAATGTTTTCTTATTTTGTTTTTATGATCTGATTTTTCAGCCAAATGTCACTAAAGCTTGATATTACAAAAAGTAATAATGCAATTATCTCTAGTCAAAAATGCCTCCCTTTGGACTTTGGACTTCAAAACTACATTCATACACCTATTACCTCTGTCAGCGAAGACGAGATTTTGCTTCATACAAAAAGTTGCTACGTTCTGCCGTTAAAGGACATGTTGTTACATATCCTGATGCTATCAACCTTTAAAAGACTTCCTAAGCCGAATTTCGCTATTGAGAGACAGTATTATATATTACCAGATTTCATTCTGACTATCTATCCAATGTTTAATATTTAAAACTTTCTAATATAGTGTATTATCTATGTATCTATCTATCCCGGTGACATTTTCAAATCCAATAGAGTTTAATAGCAACAGAAGTCAAAAAAAATCAGATCATTTGTCCCCTACGAAACATGGGTAGTTTTCCAATTACAGAGCATAATGAGACTCAGTGGCGATAATGAAGAAGACGTGTGCTAATACTTAATTGGAACGTAAATTAGTTTTCTATTGCACCAGTAGACTGCGCTAAGTTCAGTGTTGAGAATAAAAATTGTCATAGACTTAACATCCTCATCAATCTATGAGTAAAGTGATATAAAATAACCTTTGGTTGAAAATTATTTACGGTTATATGAAGTTATTTTGATTATTTGATTATTATTTTTGTTTTGTTTTGAGTACTGTTCTGTAGTAGTACTGTTCTGTTAATAAATGAGATCTAAAATAATTATATACTCTTTAATGAATTCGATCAAGCCATTGCAATGCTGACAAATCACAAAAGTAACTGTCATAAAAACTTATTTATAGTTTTAAATTTTAAAATGAAAATTAAAAAAATGAAAAATACTTTATAACCAGCAATAACTCAATGTTAACAGGGAACACAATTACAAACATAACAATATTTTGCTGAAGTGATAATATGGCGCGATTTCCAGGGGCGTCCACACTAAGCGAGCTTGTGTCGTGTATGCCTTATTTACGACTAGCTTTTGCCGCGGCTTCGTCCGCGTGGAATAGTGACTTCCGGCAGATTTTGGTTCTTCCCACACAGTTCCCGTTCTTGCGGGGTTTTCGGAATGGTGGAGTTCCCGTAGAATTTTAAGGATAAAACCTATGTGTTTTTTTTATTCACAATGAAGTACTCTTAACCAACAACATATTTATTTGTTTATTTGAATAAAGATTAATATTATTATGTTGATATAACTTAAACAAATTATTTCGACTAAATTAGGTACCATAAAAACGGTTTTTGTGAGTTAATCTTAAAAGATAGACATATACTGTCGCGGACTGTTTTCTAGATAATTAAAAGAGCTATTATTCTTTAAAACATATTTTTTGTGTATCTTGAACCGTTTTCACGGCGCACGCAACGGAAGGCTTCAAAGATGAAATAATTTCTCCCGTTTTTACACATTTACCACTCTATCTTTGCTCCTATTGGTCGTAGCGTGATGTTATATAGCCCACAGCCTTCCTCGATAACTGGACTATCCAACACAAAAAGAATTATTCAATTCGAACCAGTAGTTTCGGAGATTAGCGCTTTCAAACAAACAAACAAACAAACTCTTCAGCTTTATAATATTAGTATAGATTAACTATAACAAGTTTCACCTACGGTAGATGGCGTGTTCTTTATAAAGATGTTACAAATGGCTCAAAAGAATTAAATCTTAAATATATATAGAAAGAAAAAGATACAAAAACAAGTAAATAAAATGGAATAACATAAAAAATGTATTTAAATTTTATGTATAGAATATAAATAATAGTCAATGTTTAAATAATATTCAATGTTTATACCTACAATGTAAGGATGGATATCCTTACATTTATTAAGGATATCCATCCTTACATTTATTTTGTAACAGGGTCTGAATTAAATTTCTGAGTGTTTCGAAAAAAATACGACAGCTTCAAATTTTGTCTCAACAATAAACAATGCTAATTACTAACGATGTCAGAAATGAAATTTGAAATCAATGCCAACTTAAAGAAAAAACACTTGTTAATTTTCTGTCAGTGACGTTATCGATAGTATGCACCACAAAGCAGTACTTTTTAGTGTGCTTGATTGTGCGAAGCGTTGCTGTAGTTGAAACATTCAACGTTGAGCATTACGCCACATAATACGCCCTGGTACTGTAATTGAAAAACTACGATATACCTAAATATGGGTAGGCCCCCAACAAGGTGGTCCGACGACCTGGTGAAGGTCGCGGGAATCCGCTGGATGCGGGTGGCACAAGACCGGTCGTCGTGGAGATCCTTGGGGGAGGCCTATGTCCTGCAGTGGACGTCTTTTGGCTGATGATGATGATGATGATATACCTAAATATAATTGCCAATTCCGGGGGAAATTTTCTACCACGCACAATATCATATTAGTATACAAGTTTCCACCACGAAATAAATTTGACGAATTTTCTTCCTTATAGCAAATTCTTTAATGTATAATAAAGAGTTTTTTATAATACAAAAATACTTTACGGGATAAATAATCCGGTCACGTCGTATTGGTACCAATTCAAAATGTTACGTGAGTTTAAATTTCTTTTCGAACGGAAATTTATTTATGCTACCTGAAATAATAATTGGTAATTAAACATAATTTGTTTGGTAGTACCATATAATAATGGTTGGGAAAATATAATACGAAGAAACTTTTAAGGTGACGTCATATCATCTTCTATATATATAAAAATGGATTGCTGTTCCTTAGTCTCGCTAAGACTCGAGAACGGCTGAACCGATTTGACTAATTTTAGTCTTGAAATACTCCTGGAAGTCCAGGGAAGGTTTAAAAGGTGAGAAAAACTGGAATAATTGCCGGAAAAACCCTAAAAACAGCCCTTTTCTATTTCCCAAACAAACGATTTTTTGACATTAGATTTGACAACTAACTAATATGTCAATCATTCTGTTTGATTGAAACAGGAAAAACCTGATTATTTATGGCCTCTAAGACGGAATAGAGTTCGCCTGGTCAGCTATACCTACATATATTACTCTTGACCAAACTAACGCGGACGAAGTCGCGGGCAAAAACTAGTATGATATAAAAGCCATTAAATAGCGTTAGAATGATATTTAGTATTTACATAATGTTAACGATGTTGCAGACGTAATAGTCATGTGAATATCATAGAAATCGCATCTCAGTTATATCCATTTTAAATCACTTTCTTTTCACATTATTATTTATGTCTCTGTTTTAAATGTGTTTATGTTTTATTTTTAAATCGTATCTAGAAAATCTGTTTATAATTCAAATTATCTTATTTTAAAATTTGTTATATATTTATTAAACTCAGCATTGTTAAATGACATAATTCTTAGTAAGAGGTTAAATTGTCTAATAAATTAGTCACAGAAAATGACCGTTTAAATTAAAATTACAATTTAAAATCTATCATCAATTTTATTAGGACCTACTTTCAGTAATAAAAAGTCATCAGTTTAAGCAAGCAAAATAATTGTTCCCAGCATTACGAAGTCGTGACCAATTGATCAACAATCCTTACAGTTTCATAACGCATAACAATACCACTGCAAAAGTTTATAATCTGTGGTTTGAATATCAAAGTTGCAACACATGATTTTCGAAGTATGTAGTCTAACACCTTCTTAAGAAGGTTGACCAGAGGATTTAATAACTATATTTATAACTTAAAATATAATTCGCTCTATTTATATTCTTATCCCTACTAATATTATAAATGCGAAAGTAACTCTGTCTCTCTGTCTGTCTGTCTACAACTGCCTATAATAATAGGCATGTGCATATAACACTAGCTGTACCTGTTAATTTTGGAAATTATATTTATGCTTATTCATACAATTGTTATTGTGATAACATTAAAGAGGATCGTTTTTAATGCTTCTAAAAGCTACATATAATGTTCCAAATAGTACCAAGTTAACTTGAACCATCCTAGTAATAAGCACAAAAAGACTCTCTATGTCTTAACAGCTAATATTGGAATTCCTGATGTTGAAAACGACAAGAATGGATAATATTCAATAACTTAAGTATGTGATTGGTTGTTGATATTCTTTAGTCAATAGAATCGAAGCAACTTTAACAAGACATATAAGTAAAGGAGACTACTTACTTCGACATCAATACTTTTGTTCGTATAATCGATTCCATACTACAGATGATCTAGAACTCGCAAGTCTTTTAATATTCTATTCTATCGACTGTACAAT